ACAAAGATTAGCCCAGCAGCACAATATCCAAACCAGCATAGAAAACAGCAAAAAAAAACAACTGTTCTCTGAAACGGAATCTTATGAATTAACTAAATTGTTGGTCTGGAGAGATGAAATTACGTACGATTATAATATCACCTCAAGGTGGTTTTACCTCACTGCCACCATTTCCATCAAACTGCCACTGGAGGGTGTCAAAAGATTGGACTTGAAAACAAGCTAAAACGAGTGCTCTTGGTAAAGGTGAAAATAATTGTGTTGTGCTGTGCTCTATATGTGTAACTTAGGCCCTCCAGGCAGCGTTCAACCTGCCTCCTAATGTAGACATAGCTGAAGCCCAAAGTCGATGGCAGGATGCTCACCTCAACCCCGACCAGAGAGACTTCAGCATGGCTGACCACAAGTTCAAAGAAGTTGCTAACCAAGTCAACAATGATATCAACAAGGTAAATTTGCCACTGATATCGCCACGGGTGATGCTGCTGTAACATATGTTTTACTTTTTAAAAGTCCAAGTATAGAAGCGACTAATTATTCAACGGTAATTTATGGTGAAACTGTTTTGTTTCAGTCATGGTAAAAATGAAGTTCCGTCTTGTATGTTTAAAGGTCTGCATGCCGGTCGGACTGCACACATCTTTCCCAGACAACAACCTCCAACTGATGGTGCAGTCTGGAGCAAAAGGGTCTACTGTGAACACCATGCAGGTAGCCCCCCACTTTCATACCCCCAAAATCTCAACTATCCCATTTAGTTACATTATGTGTCAAGAGGCATTGCTTTAACTATACAGAAACCTTTGTGAATTTCCTCTGCTTCACTCCATGACAACAAAACGGATTATGTCCCCATCTTGATTCATTAATTGAATTTACCCAAAAAAATCCAGTACTTTCTGTGTTCCACAATGACAGCTACATTTATGCATTCACCTGTAATCATTTCTCAAAATTATTAGCTTCAGTTTGAGATCATGATGGTTTATGTAGACTTTGTAATTACATACAAACACTCAAATCAATTCAAGAAGAATTTATTGTCATTGTCAAAAAAGGCAACGAAATTGTGTTTGGGGTACAATACTTAGTAGCAGCAAGTTCCAAGTAAAGTGCACAAGAGGTAAAGTGACACCAGTGCTTGACCCCCCCAGCCCCCCCCTCCATCCCACTTAAAGCGCAGCAAAGATTATTAAGTGCCATAATGCTTGCCCCCCCCAACACACACACACAGGATAAATACACAGCTCCCCAACCAGACTATAATAAGGGAGCCCTAATGAATAAGGCAAAACATTCAGAATTTAGGCAGTCCGTTCCTCAAAAAGTCCTGTGAGTTCAAAAGTCTTATGGCCTGGTGGTATAGGCTGTTGGCCAGTCTTTTGGTCCGGCTCTGAAGGGACCTGTACCTTTTACCTGAGGGTAGAAGTTGGAACAAGTGATGGGCAGGATTGGGGCATGTAATGCCCCCGTGGCTTAAAAAGTGTAAATGTGACGTTGCATCTAGTCTCATAAAGGTTAGAAGTTTATCTTAAAACATGCCTACATCATGTTTTATTTTTTGTCTGTTTCAGATCTCATGTCTGCTTGGCCAGATTGAATTGGAGGGCCGTAGGCCTCCTCTGATGCCTTCTGGGAAATTCTTGCCATGCTTCCAGCCGTACGACCCTTCACCAGGGGCTGGGGGCTTTGTTTCTGGAAGGTTTCTCACAGGCATCAAACCACAGGTACGCAAAGTCAAGTGGCTTTGTCAAGGTTTTGTTGCTTTTCCAAATTTCCAGTACTTCTCAGGTACATATCTATTTATGACAAGGATACTCGTTTTTCCAAAGACCCAGCAGTAGTTAGTTTGCAGCCTGAAATTCACTGCTGCCTCCCAGACCCAATACACACATTTGCAGTGTCAGGGGGAGGCATATAAACATTTAGCCCGCTAGTTTCACGGTTGCAGAAAATGTCTAAAATATTGATTTTACTCTGTCATCTTGAGCATCTTGTTCCGAATCTATGAGGGAAGTTGTTCTTGTGTGTTGCTTGAATGAGAAAAAAAGGCAACAGATAAAGGATCTGTGTTGTTGTTTTTTTTGCTTCCATTAAAAGGATTGTTAAGACCTGTTCTCTGTCTGGATTGCACAACATAAACCTTGTATTTATGAAATGTACAATACCTTTGGGATGCATTTCTGTTCTCATTATGTATTTAACCTTCACCGTCTTCAGGAGTTTTTCTTCCATTGTATGGCTGGCAGAGAAGGACTGGTGGACACAGCTGTGAAAACTTCCAGATCAGGATATCTTCAGAGGTTAAATAACACTTTTGAATAACACTCTAAACTATTTGGAAAAAATTCACATAAAGTATTTATTTTTTAAATTTTTATTAAACAAGTCAAAAGATCACAATCCAACAACAATGATATTCATACCTAATGTTATGAAATTGGCACAAATGCAGAAAGTTTTGGTTTTCTCCAAAATTACACTTTCATGTGATTATAGACCCAATTTATGGCTTTTTCAGACATGTTTCCAGTGTTTGTGCAGCTCGTCGCTGTATGAATGCACTGCCCTCTCCATCCTACTGACATGCTCCATCTTTCCTTCTTGTCCCCTTTTCCTTGTCTGCTCTCCAGATGCATCATAAAGCATTTGGAGGGTTTGGTGGTGCAGTATGACATGACTGTGAGGGATAGCGATGGATCTGTGGTTCAGTTCTTGTACGGTGAAGATGGGCTGGACATCCCTAAAACTCCATTTCTGCAGCAAAGACAGTTTCCCTTTATAGAAGACAACTATGAGGTATCACTGACTTTTTTGGGAGTTTGTCTATTAAGAAAATTCCACTTTACCTCCATTTAACTGTCAAATCTGACTTGCTACACTAATAGCCACATTTATTTTAGTTTTTTTAATAGATTGATTGAACAATATTGCATTTTGTTTCACTGGCCCCAATATCATACGATATGAACAACTTGCAGCCTTGTCAAATTCAGTGCTCCTTCCCAACTAGGTACCACTGGCCAAATTGGCTGCCGCAGTATTTCATGGATCCCACAGCACTCCAACATGACCACCGGGCATAAATATGCTCTATGCTCAATCACCACAATTTTATGACATAGTTTTAACTACTGGGGTATGAAAAAGTGCTTCTGGTGAAACTGTCATGTAATAACACCCTAATGTCCTGTTTCCACGAGTTTTGTTTGTTTCACATATTCTTTATTAGATTATTTTGTTGAACATGTACAGCATATATCCGTGCGTGCAATGGATAACAACCCAAACGTGCAGTTAGGCCTCTTTCCTTATTTTTTCTTTGAACGTATAACAATAACAGCCTATTTCTAAGTCAGAGTATAAGTCAGAGTACAGTACAAATTAAGAAAAATAAAACAAGCTGAAGACATAAAGAGTTACAGTTTTTGCACCTACAATGCCACTCGTATTGTAGGTGACCAGTCAGGCCACTGGGGCGAAGATCGGCCAGTATCAATAGCTGTTCCTTCACGTAAAACCCAGCCCGTTTTTAAAAACGCGGCAACGGGAAATGTCCAGTTAAATTTTTCCATGATAATCCAAGTTGTAAATGCCTAATACAGGAACAAACACAGATGTTTAGTTGGTATAACGTTGCTGAAATGTCCTCATCACGGCCAGTCACCCATTCAGTTTGTAAAACCACCTAAACTGATGATGACGTCATACCGAGGTTTTAAAGCTGTTTAGGGCTGAGTAAGTCCTAATGATAAACCCCAATAGGAGATTGGTGTTTTGGGTGCTGTCACATGCCTCACCATATCATCCATCTACTCCATCAGCTCCGAGTGAAAGTCTCAAAAATAGCTTTTCTCCTCTCTTTCAGCTTTTTTTTGGCTCGTATTTTTGGGCTAAGTTTAATTAACTGTCTCCCATGAATTTATAACTGGTCACCTGCATCTCCTCATCTTTAGGTCATACGGAGTTCTCAGGGTCTTGACAGTGTTCTGGCCCGTTTGGACCCTCAAACTGCCAGGCATCACTTTGCAGCCATCCAGCGCTGGAAAACAAAGCGAGAGATGGCGTGCCCCCGGAGAGGTGCGTGTTAAATTTTTTGGCTTGCAGCCTTTGTCGTTTTGTTAAGTGCGCAGTTAAAATGTTTCTGGTGCTTTTGCAAAGCATCCATGATGCAGTTCTTGAGTGTTTATGTGTTTCAGGAGCATTCTTGCTATTTTCCCAAAAGAAGTTGACAAAACTAAAAGAGACCATGCAAGGGACAGAGTCCAGTGGAGACACTGCAATAAAGCAGGTATTTAAAGCAAAATAACATAAAGGATATGTAACTTTTGTTATGTCTCTTGTCCATAAGCCTCAGTTTATACATGGAGTTTGACTGCAACCCAAACCATAACTCAGAACTCTTCTCAGCTGGAACAGCAGTGGCATGCCCTGGATGAAGATGGCAGGACAAAATACATCAGGAAATCCTGTCGTTGCCCAGACCCATCGCTGGGCGTTTTTAGGCCTGACGTGTGCTTCGGCTCTGTATCTGAGAACTTCTATGACATCACAGAGAAGTACCTCCAGAGTAGGAATTGCACTAGTCCAGACAGCGTGGACACAGACAGGTACGGAATGTGAGGTCATTTTTGGACCTGAACTGTAAAACATGCCTAGTCTTTTAAACCAGGATGTCTTAAAGGAATCCAGGCTGCTTGTCCTTTACAAGAAAATGTGTGCTGTGGCAGCTTTAAAGTCAACAATTGGAATATGCGGCTGTAAGTGGCTTTCGCTTATCAGTATTGACACAGTTGGACCGCCTGACAAGCTTTCTTTCAATTGTCCTGCTTTTTAGCAAGCAAATACAGCCTCAGAAATCAGAAATCTCTTTATTTGCCAAATGTACAGAGCACACAGGAATTTGACCTGGTATCCCAGCGCAACAGGACAGTTTAAATAACAAATTTGAAAAAATGACAGAGAAAAGGTACATATGATTACTTTGGGTGATTTTCGGTGTCTATATCTTTAGGTTTATGGTGTCGTCAACAGAGCGACTTGCTCTGTAGGCAAACTGTAAAGGGGGTCAGTGATTGGTTTGAGGTAGGACAGGATGAGCTTCTCAGAGGTCTTCGTGACCACAGATGTTACAGTGACAGGTCTGTAGGCAGGTTATCCTGTCCTTCGCAACTGGGACAATGATGGATGTCTTGAGACAAGGTTGCACACGAGGGGATAAGTGTGTGAGGGAGTTATGGGGGGTGAGGAATGGGAGGTATGGGGCATAAGAGACAGGGAAGGGTCGGTGAGGTGAGTGGGGAGGGTGCGGGAGGACGGATGGAGGAAGGGGTGCAGTGTGAAGGAGTTATGGGATCAGGGAGTTATGGGGTGATGAGGGATGGGCAGCTCACAGTGCCTCTGTGGAAGGAGGGAGGGGGAGCAGGGAGTGAAAACAAAAGAGGGGCAAGTGGTCAAACCTGGTGTAGAAGGTATTGAGATGGTCAGCTTGTCCAGGGGAGGGGGGGATGGCAGGCTTTTTACCCGTGTACTCCACACAACTGCGTGAGTGTTGTGTCTGAATCATTCTCAGTTCTGGCACAATAGTCCCTTTTAGCAGTTATGATGGCCCTCTTAAGATCCTTTTTGGCCAGCCTGAATGTGTCCATATCACCTTCTCTGTATGCCTGCTCTTTCCAGCGTCTGAGCTCTCTGAGCTGCTTGGAGAACCAAGGCTTTTGGTTATTGTACCTTGTGATAATTTGGTGGGAGGCAAACCTGCTCACAGAAGCTAACGTAGGAACATATGGTGTCAGTAAAGCAGCCGTTGTCATCCTCATGGCCCCTCAGTGACTCCCAGTCAGTAAACTCCATGTAATCCTGAACCATGTCCCTTGCCTCTGGAGTCCACCTCCTCACTGCAGTCCTTGATGGTTTGGACCTCTTCAGTTGCTGCCTGTATGTTGGGACCACCTGAATGATGCAGTGGTCGGAACGTCCAAGGGGTGCACGGGGGATGGAGCGGTATGAGTTCTTAATGATTGAACAGAAGTGGTCCAGAGTGTTGTCCGCGTAGCACAGGTCACCAGCTATTTGTAATTCGCCAGCTCCTGAGAGAGATGTTGATGCAGGTGTTGAAATCTCCCATCACAATAAATACCGAATTAGGCCGAGAGGTTTCCACGGTAGAGATCTACTTTGCTAGCCGCTGCAGTACTTCGCGGGCTGGGACTTGCGGAGGGATGTAAACTCCCTCGAGAATGGTGGAGGCAAACTCTCGGGGAGTAGTAAGGTGCACACTCAATAAAAACTGATTCTATGATGCCACAACAGTGTTGTTGTAATATCACTGCATCTGTGCACCAGTTAATTTATATGTAAAAACACAGACCTCCCCTCATTGATTTGCCGCTGGCCTCCATGTCGCGGTCTGCTGTAATAGGCTGGAAACCAGATAATTCCACAGCGACATCGGACACACTGTCATGTAGCCAGGTCTTGCAGAAGAAAAAAGCAGAGTTCCTGTGGAAGTATTTGCTAGTCCGTAAGAGTCCATCTCATTGCAGAGAGATTGTACGTTGGAAATGCAGATTTATTCCCTCCAGAGGAGTAAAAAAAGTAAGAAAAACATCAGACATTATAGAATCTCTGATAGTTAGGAGGGTATCCCGGTCCTGCCGCATGATGGCTAAGGTGCACTATTTATACTATTTGCACTAAAGAACACGGAGCGCTTTTTCTCGTGGCTGCCCGGTCGGAGGTCAGGCACCAGGAGAACATTTCATGATATAAATTCAGATTGCTTATTTTGCTCCTTTAAGTCAAGAACAAGCTATTTTATATGATTTTTCACCACACCACATTTTCACTTCTGGTGAAACTGTCCTGATGCACCCTATTTCAGCCCTTCCCCATTTTGCCTGCATCAGTGTTGCTGCGTATGTTCAGCAATGCACACGCTTTGATGAACATGATGAGAAAGTAAGTAAGATTTGGTGTCTCGAGAGCTTGACTTTTTCAAGTGTCAGAGTTTGGACTTTAAGCAGTGTAAAGCTGTGTGGATGCATTAAATTCCTCCTCATATATAAAAAAAAAGGTATACTTATAGATGGTACGATAACAACCATTTAAAAATCTAAAGCTGAATAAGTTCAAGCTATTATCAAAGGAGTTGTGGTGCTGTGTAAAAGAAAGCTATGAAATCCTTTGATGCAATAATTTATCCATAGTGGTATATAGTGATCGAAAGTGAGAAAATGACTAAATAGGAATTTGGGGTGGACCAAACAAAACACTGGAAAATGTAAAAAAAAAAAAAACGGGGGGAGGATTGTGTTCGTTTTCATTTTGGCCATTAGTAAGAGGTTAAGTATGAAATGGCACCTTAGAGAGTTAGTCTTTCAAAAGTAAAGATGAAGGCAAACGTTCAGTATTATACAAAAAAGTACATCTGCAATTGGTGGAGCATTAGCTGAATGATGTTTTCAGGGAGAAATTGTGGAGACTGAAAAGCCCATCGTCCACAGTGCAAAGGATTTGGATATTCTGGAGAGGTTTCTGCTAACAGCAGCATTTAGAGTTGGATACTCAGGCCCTCAGGCAGCAATGCATGCTTGGAAATAGAAGTGATCTTATCATGGAACACATGGGCTCAGGAACACAACTTGGCTTGCCCATTTTATAAATGCAGGTTAAATCCCACACAATGAAGCCATATTATGCAAACGTGAGCCAGAAACACTGTCACTTTATTCCCTGAGTTAAGGTTAACTTAAATTGGCCTGGGGAGCGTAGAAAACTGTTCTGTGCTGAGAAGAATCTGAATACCTTTTAAAATCAAGGACACTGGCAGTTTTTACAGCAACATTTGGTCCAGTCTAGGTGACATCTTTATCAGTGGGGTTTGCTCTCTGTGTCGTGTACAGCAGCTCCTCTTCGTGACTTTGTGAGCCACATGTTTCCCGACTTTAAACAGGAGGCTACACAGCAGTAAAAATGAAGTTTTACCAAGGTTTTGTGACCCTAAGACATTATTCAAGATTAGCTTATAGTAAAAACCTCTCCCCTCCCACATTAGAAGTTTTCTGTGTTTTACTAAAAAAAATCATTGCACTCTTGTCTTGTCCGTTTTGGGGTGTTGGTGATCGACTTATTGTATGTTTGTGTTTAAATGAGCCTAACATTTTGTGTCCCCAGCCTTCGCAAGCTGTTGCATTACAAGTGGCAGCGCTCACTGTGCGACCCGGGCGAGGCTGTGGGTCTGCTAGCAGCCCAGTCCATAGGTGAGCCCTCCACCCAGATGACGCTGAACACCTTCCACTTTGCTGGCAGGGGAGAAATGAACGTCACTTTGGGAATACCTCGGTGAGGATGCATCAGAGGTCTTCTTGATTAGCTATGTGTAGGCTTTCAACTGGGAACCCAGATTTTCTGAACATATGAAAACTGAGGTTTCCTGTCATGAGCAGGGTTTGGTTTAGAATTTTGATTTGGTGTCTTACTTCTGTTTTCCATTTTAATTTAGTAGCCTTATGTGTGGCTTGATGTCTGGTTTGCTGTTTTATTTTACTGTTTAGCTTGGTTTCCTGTGTTTCTCCTTTGTGTCTCAGTTTACTTCACTTCCTTCTGTTCACATTCCTCTGGTCTTGTTTCCCCATCTTGGTCCCAATGTGTGTTCCTTGGTTTTATTAGTTCTAGGTTTTGTGGTGTTCTCTCTTCTAACTCCATTTGCAAATGTCTGCCCACCCTACAGACTGCGAGAGATCCTGATGGTGGCCAGTTCCAATATTAAAACACCTATGATGAGCATCCCTGTGCTGACCAACAAGAAGGCTCAGAAAAAGGCAAAGATGCTGCGGAAGAAACTCACCAGGGTTTGTCTAGCTGAGGTACCAGAGAGCTCCTTCTTTTTTCTTTATATTCTTCCCCCTATTTTCCTATAATATCCTCATATATCTGTTCTACATGTGTTGCTCATTTATGCCGTATGTGGGCACATTCAAAGAAGAAGTCACTTTAGCTGTGTGTGTGTGTGTGTGTGCAGGTGCTGCAGAATGTGGACGTCGTTGAGACACTGCTAATTGAAAATGATCAAAAGCTGCGTGCATTCAAGGTTGCCTTTCATTTCCTGCCACCTGAACGCTATAGTGACGATAAGCTGTTATCACCACATCAGATCCTCCACTACATGGAAACAAGGTGTGTGTGAGTGTGTGTGTGTGTGTGTGTGTGTGTGTGTGTGTGTGTTATTCCTTCTAAGATGAAACCTACCTCTCAACCTTCGTGTTCTCCGTCCCACCCATCCTTTCAGGTTTTTCCGTCTCCTCCTTGAAGCCATTAAAAAGCGCACAGCCAAGCTGGCCTCTATCGCTGTGGAGACGAGGAGGGCCACCCCCAGAGATGCGGATGGCGGGGGCGCAGCCGCCACACCAGGGGTCTGATACATTTTTATTTATTTATTTTTACATTGTTGTGATTCCAAATTGGTGTTAGAAAGCAAAAATGCTAAAGTAAAATTTCCCGTGTTGACTCTTCTCAGTTCGGTGACGGGGAAGGAGAGGAGGAGAGAGAGATTGTTGATGACCAGGGGGAGGAAGGAGATGCTGACGCAACGGATGCCAAGAGAAGAGGCAAACAGGAAGAAGAGGTTTGAAGCCAGATAAGAATTGTTGATGCTGAGGAGGTGTGAGGGATGTTTCTGGAAACCACAATCTAAAAAATAAATCTTCATGAAGCGTTGCTCAATGCCCTAGCAAACAAGAGAATATCTCCCATCATGATATGGCTGATAAGAAATTCTCCTAAAGTGATGACACCCAGAAAGGAATCTTATTTTAATCTTCTTTTTTTTTCTCTAACCACATCTGTCACACACATGATCTATCCACATTTTCTTTATTTTAAGTTCACCCCAAAGGTGGATTGACAGATCCCTTGTAATAATTTCTATCTTATTTGAACCCAGTAATTTTTGGGCTGAGCTGGCCAGTTATAATATCACAGATTTGGGAACAATGTACATTTGTTTATGGACAGTAGACTGACGGTTTGCCATACACATTTGGAAGTTAATTGATCTAACACAAGGAAGGCAGATCATGTATTCACTTTTACCATTTCTGTTCTGCCAGGGGAACCAACATCCTGCCTTGGGGTGTCTTCTCTTCTTTTTTTTGATACAGTATCTTTGTTTGCTGTGTCGGGCTAGGTTTCAGTGAAATTCTCAAATATTTAAGGAACATCACATCATTTGATTCTAATGTCTTGTTTAAGAAACTTGGTCACACACGCTCAAATGTTTCAAAAACACCATTGGGAGCATCATTGCCTAGCAGCTAGAGGGTTCTCTGACATCTCTGTGTAGAGTTTGCATGTTCACCCTGTGTCTGCGTGGGTTCTCTCCGGGTACTAAATCTTTCTACCCCAGTCCGTGCATGTACATGCATGTTAGGTTCATTGGACTCTCCACATTGCCCCTAGAAAGTGTGCGGTTGTTTGTTGCTTTGTGGCCCTGGGATAGACTGGGAACCTGTTCAGGGTGTACCCTGCCTCTCGCCAGTTGCCAGCTGGGATAGGCTCCAGCCCTCCCGCGACATCTTCGGGAATAAGCGGATAAGCAGAGAGTTGGATGGATGGAAGGTGGTGGGTTTTGCATCATCATTTGCACCTCGTCCAAAATAGGCCAAATTCTATGGCTAACATGCTGCTTGCTATTAAACAAAGAGACCTCATTGTTACGTCTATCCAACAGAATTTTCTGCTTTGAAGCCAGAATAGATATTTAGCTTAGGTTGCAAAAGTTATCTGCTTTCCTGCTGTTAAACATTTCCTCTAGTGTCTTTTTTTATTACGTAAACTGTGGCTGTTATGCTCCACTGCTGTAGTATCCCGGAACAGCTCCCCATGCTTTCCTGTTTCCTTAAATATCTGCATGTACACTTTTTTTTCTTGTTTTCTTTTACAAATTTGGCCTCGACTACAGCAGACATCCCTGCGAACGTTGTTTTGTTTCTACTGAGCGAAACACCCATGAGAGGATGTTTTACTTTTTACTCAAACAGCTCACTTCCTCTTGAATCGATCAGTTAAAAACAGCCACATTTGGCTAAAGACTTACAGCAAAAAAACCCGCTGGTAGTAATAGTGCTCCAAATAATTTGGAATCTGACAGCGGGGTTGTCTACTTTTTGGGGGGGATTTGTTCCCTTTGCACAGCACCTTGAAATAAGGACGGGGTATATGGGCCGAGACTGGTTGCATTTCAACCTGATTATGACATGGCTGCCTCTAACTCTTATTTGGTCTTTAGCCCCTCGCTAAAGAGATTCTTCGCAATTCTAACAGTAAAGCTAATTGTGTTCTATTGATGTTGAATGGCAAACAATTCGGCTCAGATCTAGTAGTGGTCAGAAAAACAAAAGCTAAAACTTTTGATACAATACATCCTGAGTGGGGGGAGTTTCACTCGTTGGCATGAATTAATTTTTTTTCTCATTTCGGCCTGCAGGTTGACTATGAAAGCGAGGATGAGGATGAACGTGAGGACACTGAAGATAAAGAGGAACGGGCCGAAGGGGAGGATGTAGAGAACGGACAGGCGATTGCTGTGGAGGAGCCTCAACCGCAGTCTGCTGGGGAGAGGGTAGCAAAGGGCAAGAAACAAGCAAAAAGAGTGGTGGGGGAGGGATCCTCGGTCCAGATGAGGGTAAACTCGGTCCTGGAAGTACACTCGGCCATTCAGAAATACAGCTTTGATGAGCAGAATGAACTCTGGTGTGAGGTAAGAGTGCCATTTGATACAATCAGTCTACATCTCAGGTTTTTTTTGCCGATTGATCTTTTTTAATCTTTTCTATAAAGTATTCCCAAATTAAATGTGAGGCCCTCTGTCTGACAGCTAAAGCTCGGCTTAAGCTGGTGCTGTAAGTAAGTGCGTCTCAGCCTAGTTCTTGAATCTAATTCATATGTTTCGCATACCGGATTTTTCCATTTGGATTCTTGTTGGGAAATGGTGACCCAGATTTGATTGATGCCCCAGGGATGGATAACCATACATATGCAGGGTTTATACTACGATCTTGGTGCACTGATACAGAAAAATAAAAGCGGCCACACCTTAAGAATAAAGTTGTTGTTTTTTCTTCATATATGTTTATGTATATGTGCGCATTTATACTAACCATAATCAGGGAATTTGACATTTGAATATCGGGAAAAATTAAAATGTACTTTATTTTGAAAAACCAACACTGCCCGTTGCCTGTGAAACTGCTACAGCTGTGCGCTGCTTGTTGGGAAACTAGAGACGACAATCAAGAGTAAAGGGAGCGAATGAAAGGCACCTAAGGAAAGTTAACACTCAGTTTTAAATGGCCATAATGGTTGTGTCACTGGAGGCGCCACAGCCCGATGCTGTGGCTCTCTGGTATGCGTTTTATGCCTCAGTTCTTTGGTTTTCCCCTTTTGTTAACCAGCTTTAGCGAGCGCTCTAACTCCTCAGTTCTCTCTCCCTCCCCACAGGTCGAGCTTGCCTTACCTGTGACCAAAGTGCACTTTGACCTGACCTCGGTCCTGTCCACGCTGGCTAAGAACGCAGTCGTAATGGAAACCAAGGGCCTGACACGCTGCCTGCTAAGTGAAACTACGACCGAGTCCGGAGAAAAAGAGACCGTTCTAAATACAGAGGGCATCAACATGTATGAAATATTCAAGTACAGCAACGTATGTGATTTTATTCTATTTTCTTTTCTTTCTTTTTTTTTGGTGGGTGTCCCAAAACCGCTGGATGAGCCTAAACTCCAAATCGGGATAATATGAACTTGCATGCCTTGAGATACTTGTTTCCTCAGTGTCAGTGTTTTCTGACGGCACTTAAATGTGTTTAATCTTAGACATCACTAAAACATTGTAATTATTCTTGCTGAAATGTGAAGGTAGCAAACTGAAAAATATCCCAAATGAAATCCTTAAAATGTTTCCCACAAAAAGATTCCCTTCCTAAAGGTTTGTTTTGGTTAACAGCTGGGAATTCACAACTCCTTCTCACTGTGGAGTTGGTTGATAAACAAAGCAACAAAAGTTATTTTTTAAATAATTTTTTCAAGTTATATAAGGAAAAAGTCTCTGAACTGGATAACAGATTGTTGGAATTGTTGACGTGAAATTTTTATCTCTGATCATCCAGATTTTGGACATCAATAGGCTGTACTCCAATGAGGTCCATGCCATGGCTAGTACCTATGGTATTGAAGTGGCTCTGAAAGTCATTGAGAAGGAGATCAAAGACGTGTTTGCAGTCTATGGTAAACAAACAAACACATACACACATACATCAAAAGACTCAGGATCTCTCAGTTCACGACTGCATCTCCATCTGCCCCCCAGGTATCGAGGTTGACCCCCGACATCTGTCACTGATGGCAGATTACATGTGTTTCGAAGGCGTGTACAAGCCACTAAACCGGCACGCCATTCAGTCCAATTCCTCTCCCCTTCAGCAGATGACCTTTGAAACCAGCTACAAATTCCTTAAACAAGCGACCATGCTGGGTGAGGAATAATGTTGATATTTTAATTACTGCTATGTACTTCACTGATTTCTAACTACTTTAGTTTCTTTTCTTTACTCCATCAGGTTACATCAATGACCTTTTGTCTTTCTTTTTCAGGGTCACATGACCAGCTGGCGTCACCTTCCGCCTGCCTGGTGGTGGGAAAAGTGGTCAGAGGAGGGACAGGACTGTTTGAACTGAAGCAGCCTCTGCAGTAGAGGACTAAGCTGTTTTTTTTTTTTGTTTTTTTTGGGGGGGGGGGGGGTTGTGTGTTTTCCTCGCTCAGACAAGGTGCCTTCCCTCTGTAATGGCAACACATAAATAGCAGCCAGCATAAGATCTTTTTTACACTAGCCTTTAATCACTGGGGAACCCTCACACCAAATAGGTTTGTACAAAAATACCACAAATAATTGATGCTATTCCCAGCATTGGTTAAAGAACTTTCTAAAGTTCACTAAGTTGTAATTTAATCATTATGTAAACTTGTTTACAGCACAGCAGTTAAAAGGATACAGAGATGCAAGGCTTTTGTCAGAATGATGTTTTAGCCTTTATCTGTATTTAATATTGCAATGATAAATGTATAAGAAAAAATAATTAAGGCTGTTTATTCTTATTGTTTTTCTTTTATACTTTTTAATTGAATTATTTCTTTTCTCCTAAGTTTGGATGATTACTTACAGTGTTCACTTTAAACTTGGCCTGAAAAACTAATGGGGTTCTGGCATGGAAGCTACAAATATTCAACTCAAGAAACATCTCTTTAGATACGTTATCTATTGCAGTCCTATTACAATATACTGATAAAGCTTTCAAATCTCAGCCACGGTGAGACACTGGCGTTTAATCTTATTAAAAAGCCACACGAAATATTTTTCTCACGCTCAGAATTGTGTTCCTAGAATGTCAATATTTGCGGTGCAAAACGTGTCCGTTTTTGGTTCAGTACTTCATTAATATCAACATCACATTGACAAATGTGCACCAATTTCGTGTTAACGAGGACCTTTTCAAAGCGGGTAGGAAGGAACTGTACTAACTTGCATCACATTTCCTTCCTATGAAGTGACTTGCGGCTGTATCAATGCGCCTCCTCAGTAAAGCAAAAGCATGGCGGCCAATTTGAGATGCGAGTAGAAGGAAAGGTTGCATATGAGTATATCTTGACCCGTACCACAGGTGAGTTGCCATAATTTAAAGTGAACTTGCAAATCGTTCTCATTTCAACTGTCGTTGACGTTCGCGGGAGTAATAAAGTTTATCTTAACCTATTAGAAATGAAAATGTATACAATATGTGAGAATTCATCAGGTGCGGAGGCATAACAGCAGTTACCATCATGAGACTGAGGTGAGCCATTTACAAAGACGTTTTAAAAAGTATTTTCATTAGTATTGTTATATAGGTTGTGCCATGTAAACCGCGCCAGAAATTATATAAAATATATTACAATAGTTACAATCTTTAACAAAAAATAACATATTCTGTTGGTACAGCTGGACGAGATATGTTGCTATGGTGCGACCGCAAGGAATCATGGGAATTACTCCCTTTCCAAAGAAAACATCGGAGCTATTTTTTCGTATTGGAGAAATGTAACATTCCTTGTGCAGACACACATCCGGGTAACTTCTCTGCTTTCTCTGAGCACAATAAACTATTTCTAGAGGGCGATAGTAGAGCATAGCTTTGTCATCCTGTACTCAACTTTCTCAGATGAAGCACAACGCAATTATGAATTATTAGGAGAACGAAGTCCCGTTTAGGGTATGTCCAAAATTTCGGGTTGACGGCGGCGGAAGTGATGACCAGTTTTGCTGCTGATTGGCCGGATGTTTTACGGTCTCCTGGGGAGAAGCGGTTGAGGCAAGGGATAAATGGCAAAGATTCCCTGACCTTGGCTTACGGGTTATGCCACTTGAAAGCGTCAGTTAGGAGGAATAATCGGAATTCATGAAAGGGTAAGTAAACGAGACTCAAAATTGCAGAAACAAGAAGCTGGTTGCATATTGGCCTTACTACGCGCTTTGGTCGTAAAGCAGCCAATAAAAACCCACCAGTTTTGTCTTGTCGTACTGTCAGTATGTATCGGCCATTCTTTTTTAGTCGTTTATTTCTCTAAACTGATTTATTGGTCTTAGCCCCGTTTGGCATGGCTAGATGCAGCTTTGACATGTGGCAGCCTTGTACAACTGCGTCACGGAACAAGGATGTGTCTTGGTCGCGACGTCTTGATTATGGACTGGATGGTTATGGAAGACATTACAACGTACGCCACAATTGGCCGATGTCTTGGTAATTTCAGGAAAGTCACAGTTTCAATAAACTTTGCCGCTTTAACTGCCAAGAAATGCAACTTGGATTAGGCAGGCTTTGCATGACGGGCGTCTTGTTTATTTAATAAGAAACGCTTGGGACGAGCGAAACCTGTCGAAAGAAAAGAAAAAACACAACGTACTCTCACGGGGTTTCACGGTCTCGAAATGAAATAATAGCCTTATTAAAATGTCTAGTGATTTACTTTTTATATATTTATTAATATTTTTAACGAGTGTCCCGCGTTCCATTGCCCGATTGATTTTAAAATGGAGACCCTATAATAATCTTTTTTAACCGAAATTTGAATTTGAGTTTTGAAATTAAAGCCCCACCAAACTTTCTAATCATACTAATTGTGTAATACTTAAAATCAACATTACAAATCTCCACATCCTTTTAAGAAAAGCGTGACTGATTTGTCATGGTAGTTTTGAAAAATAATCCTATCATGAAATTATGTCAAGATGTTTCTTTCTTCCTGTCCAGGTCTATTATTAGTCATTTATGTTTGTCTAAGAATTGAGATGATGACTTTAGGCAACTTTTATGTACTTTTTTCCCACTTTATTTAAGGCTTGAGGGTCTCTTTAAGGAGGTTTGCGTTCAGTCTAAAGTAAACTGATGAAAATTAAGAAAAGTGTCATGTTTGGTATTTTTTGTTTGTAAATAAAATGTAAAATGAAACACTTTAGATAATTGGTACACAGTTTGTGTAATTGAATTTCAGTGTGAATATACATGTCAGGATAAGACTGCGTGTCAGAGAACAGCAGTGCTGATTTTTTTTTTTTGTAATGAAAAACAAACTTAAGAGCTTAAAAAAGAAAAAGAAAAACCAAAGCAACCTTAGTTATATACATAAAACCTCAATCTATTCACATGAGTGGATCTTTTTGCTGTTCTTTGTCTTTCAGCATGTGACTACTGATCAACTCTTTGCCTCTGTGTGTCCAGGACAAGACCCCTGAGAGCCAGAGGGCTCTGGGATTCAGCAGACACACCAGAGGGGTCCATAGGATCACAAGTAAATGAGAACAACATGAAAGTTTTAGTACGCTGGCTGGCAAACAGGTGAAGCTACGACAAAGACTCACGCCACACGTCACGCCACCTTTTTCTGATTATTTAGTACTTTATGTGCTGGTAGTTTTGCTGCCAGGGGATTATGGGCACTATATGACAGAAGATGTGAGGCTTTGTGTCTTTCCTGCATCGGGGGCAACAGTATAAATCTGTCATCTGTTAGCCTCTGCCTTCATTTTCATCTACTAGATATATTTTCCCTGCATACTGTTTGGTTAACACGTGATAAATGAAGCAGACTGAGTTATTCTTTTTAATGATTCTTCTGACTGCTGTACCACAAGGTTGAAAACACTGGATGTGGTGGCCGTTGAAATTAACGCTGAAGGCGCTGTATATGCAGCTCGCAATCCTCCCCCCAAGAATAACTGTGCAATGATGTTGCCATACCAGTTCTGAAACGTAAACTGTTCCATGATTTGGTCTTCAAACTTTAATAAGGCACATTCCTGAAATATTTCTTTTTTTCTTTGCCAAGTTTTCTGCCCTGATGACAACGTTATGTTTTATCCCTCCATCCATCCGTTATCGTTACTGCTTATTCCCTAATGGGGTCGTGGGGAGAACTGGAGCCTATCCCAGTGGTCAATGGGCAAGAGGCGGGGTACACCCTGGACAGTCCGCCAGTCCATCGCAGGGCCAACGTTTACTGTTTCTTTTTTTTTTTTTTCTTATCAGACGTGTCCTGGTTGCAGCTGTTGTCTTTTGTTTGCTGTGTTTGGGGAAGATCTCTCTACCTATGACTCAGACGGATACAAGCAAACCTGTTGAGTGGAACATCAACCCAAAGCACAAACAGGTGAGACCAGTGGTGCCGAGGTTTTATGGAGAGAACGCACGCACCTAAACCCTGTACAACCCTACACAAAAAAGGAAGCAAAACCATAACGCAAGGTTAACAGGTGACTTTGGAGCAGCATTGCGGTTTCCTCCTCTGTCAACAATAACCTCAGTTTAGGCCCATTTAGAACACATTTGAACCCTCTGATAAAACGGCCTCTGCTGCTTTTGTGACTTATTAATGGGGACCCTTTTCAACACTCCAGACCAAACCTGAGAAAAAATAAACTGTGTCCGGGAAACTCCCTATTTATTGAAAAAATTAAAAACTGACTTTACTGGTTAATGAGCTGATGCAGTTGATTGCATAATCAATAACAGTTCCTCATCGCTTCACTTTTTTCTAAAAAGCCTAGTGTAACCAAAAGATACCCTGGATAAATGATGCCATTAACATGTCATTAACTGACCAAAGTTGAGCTAAAATTGGTTGAAAGGAGAAGAACTATGAACACCCCAAGATAAGCAGCTTATACAACCGCAGCAATAACTAGAAGTTACTGTTTCTGGAATGTGTGGTCAGACTTTTGGCCTCTCCTGTGTAAGTATTGCTTCAGTTAAAAGATGGTTGTGTAGCTTTAGAGCTTTACCTGTTAGACATTTGTTTTAAAATTTGTATTCATAAAACTTTACGGAGGAGCTCATAGTTCACTTAAAAAGGTCATAGTTGAATTAATAAAGTGTCCAGGTAAAGTGGCTGTAGAACAAGCCCAAATCATCAAACCTCCTTTCAGTGCCTTTTCCAAATAGGTAAACCCAAGCCAGTAGCCAGAGTCTGGATGTTTCCTTTGTGTTTGTTACAGTTTCTCTGAGCATTACTCACCCTATAACCTTGGAATGAACATTCTGTGTTGTCCACTCCTGGCAGGACAGACAGCTTAATGTTATTTAGTTGTGAATATTGTCTTTTTGAATATAGGCTCCAAATAGTTTGGAAATTACCTCACATGGACAGGTATTTGGGATGTATCTGTATCCAAGTGCCTTATTTCCCTTTGTTATACTATTTGTTTGATATTTTTTTATTTTTTTTATGATAACCTTTGGTATTTTTCTAGAGTCTTGTTGTTTGCTCCTAGTCAAGAAACTGGCTTAATATTCTTATCTAGCACGTTAGTTTGTTTTCAAAATGTGTTATAACACAGCAAATATATGACAGATTTAAATGCATTACATGTATGTTCCCCATAAACCCACATTTAAATTTTTTTACATGGGCGCTAACCCTAAAAGGAACTGATACGGCTTTTTGTTTTTAGTGTTTTATATTTTTGTCTTACTTTACAGCTGCAGAGGGTGGCATCTGTGCATATATAAGAACTGTTTTGATGACTTATTTACACATTTGGGATTGTACATTTGACTTGACCCCATTGGGGTAACATTAACTTAAGATGTCCACAAACAAACAAAAAAAAAAAACCCAAAACAAAGTGGATAATTTGATGGTTTTTACCCGCAGCTCGTGCACGAACACACACGTGAAGTCCTCGAGGGTGAGTGTCATGCCAATGGCACCAGGACCAAGCTGCTGGCGCTGCTTCCAGCTTCAGGTCGCTCCACTCAGCCCTTCCTATGGAGAGATGGGCCGCTCCCCGATGACCTGTTCTTGTACCCACCGCCGTTTGGGCTCAGAGGTCTTCAAGGAAAAGTAAAGGACCTGCTGCAGCTGGTGATTGATCTTAATTTTATTTTTCAACTGAGTGTATGTATCATGTGAAAAAATAAGATAAAAAGATTAGGGGATAAAATTCAACAGGGTCTACCTCTTGTTCACATCGTGGATCCTTTTTTGAGCCTTTCGTCCACCAAAATCCCGTCATTGTTTTCCATTATATTGGAAATATTATAATATTATATAATATTATATTCTGTTTTTTTGAGAACTTTCAAAGGGTTGCTAAGTTATTCTTTGTAACTCAGAGACTGCCTGTCACAGCTCTAGTACATAAAAAAGACCAGCAACAAAACCCCGCCTGTCCCCTTTTGTTTATGATTTACTGTCAGGGTCTATGTTTAAGGAACAGATTAGTCACTAGAAAATTTCTGAAGACATTTTGGAGGGGGGGCACCCGCTGCCCGTCCGGGAACCCGGGGCGGGTCGGCCAATCGATATTTGGGCTCTCTGTAATGTGGGCTCGCGCCTATGAGAGGGCCTGAGGGAGAGACGCAGTGATGGAGGGACCCGGCTGAGCTCTGGGGTCCGCTGACCGAATGCGGAAGGGGTGGGCAGGTCGGGGGTCATGTTGGCTGAAAGCTGAGAAAAAGACCTACGCAACGAGGTATGACATGGCCCCGGTCCGGTTCCGACCCGGTTGGGTCAGATCCCCAGAACCGGGCTCTGACTAAAGCCCTCTAAGCGGGCTTCGCCCGCCATGGTAACAGTAATAACGTATTTCTTAAAAAATCACTGAGAGCAGGCTTCGCCCGCTTTTTGCCAGAATCACTGCCCGCCTGTAAGCAGAAGCACGCTGACTGAATGCGGATGGGGTGGGCAGGTCGCGGGTCATGTTGGCTGAAAGCTGAGAAAAAGACCTACGCAACGAGGTATGACATGGACCCGGTCCGGTTCCGACCCGGTTGGGTCCTATCCAGTGGCGGCTGGTGAAAAAAAATCTTGGTGGGGCTGGTGTGCCAATATATTTCCCTGCCTAACCCAGTACATGCATTCAAGTTAAAAGTCGTAAAATTAGTACAATTCCACAATAATGATTTAATTCCCTTATCAGAATCAGCAGTTTACATATACAGTTAACCATTTGAAGCTATATTAGGTATTATTTTGGAAGGGAACAGTATGAAATACAACACTCAATTTTACTATTTTTCACCAAACACACAAAGTAGGCACACAGGTGGTTAGCTTAACACGGTTAGCTTAACACAGTTTTCCATATTACCTCGTGATATTTCATGTTTCTTAGTTGTTCAGAGAGGTGTTTTAAGTCTGTCTGTCCAGACTGTGTCCACGTCAAATCACTCCGGTCACTTTTAAAGGGATGCGGGAAAAACATAAAAGTGCATTGGCGTCCCACCGGCTGTCAGCCAGGACTTACGCTGGAACCAGCTTCTGTTAAAAGGCCGACTGTAGGACTTAGCTTTTTCATTGGTTCGCTGCGTTAAATTTATTTCGGACTTGTCAGGTCCCAGCTTCTTTACGTTTAATTTTTCCACCATTGTCCTTCTCACGTAAGGAGATCTCAGTAAAGATCTCACTGAGTTATGTGAAAGCTGCTCTTCAACTGTCGCCGTCGCCGTCATCTCTACGTCACAGGCTGACTGACCAATAGCTACACGTCTATGGCTTTGGGGCGCCAGCTCCAGGCGCCCCAAAGCCAATAATTTCGGCGATGCTGATTGGCCAAATATTTATTCATTTTCCCTAGCAACATTTTTCAATTGGTTATTTCGCTGCACTTCTGGGGCGCTTGGGGCTAGCGCCCCAGAAGAGAAACGATTCGTTCTGTGGGTGAAAATGCACCGTTGAATGAGAGTCAGTTGGTGGAAGTGATGTTTTAATAATTCATATTACATGTAGCCACATATTATTAAGTAAAACTGACATTGATAATACTTTAAAAATAAATATATATAACTTTCCCCCTCCACATCTAGGGGGGGCGGCGCCCCCTATGGGCCGGCCGCCACTGGTCCTATCCCTAGAACCAGAGCCGGGCTCTGTCTAAAGCCCTCTAAGTGGGCTTCGACCGCCTTGAAACCGAAATAAGCGCTGCTGTGGATCTCTGCTGATCGCCACGGCAACAGCAGCCAGGCCAAAGTCTCAGCTCCCACACCTGTGACTCATCAGTAAGCCGTATCTCTGACACAGAAAACTGACAGTTTTGATCAAAAGTTTCCTCCGAACGGCTGTACGCTGTTTGAAAACTATATCACAAAACTGAAAGATTCTTGGACCGTGAGCGCCTACAGAGTTTAAGGTCGAATCCAGTGTATTTTATTTTCGGCTGCTCCCAGCAGTTATTTTTTTATGGCAATTTCAAAATGAGGGCCGTTTTGGGTCTGGTTAAAAAGAATCTCTCCTTTCTTCCATTCAAATCCTATTACAGAGGGTCGGGAAAGGCTGGACTCTGGGCCCGATTGCCGGAAAACCGTAAGGCCGAGGTCAAAAGTGGGCACATCGGCTGAAAGAGGACGACCGCGGCTACGTTTTGAGGCCATTTTGGTGCCGCTCGGCCCCACGGTTTGGTCGCGAAGGGCAATAGTTTGACTTGTTTTCGGTGAACGCCTCTCAGAGGCTTTAACGAGCTGAATTAGAGTGTGGGGAAAATTCTCTGATTTTCTGAATTTCACTAAAACGTCAACAGCGATTGCGGGCAAACGGTGCGAGATCTGGCCTCGTGGCTCCGATATGGCGGAGGCCCATCTTTCGTGTCCCGTTCAATGTTTTAACGAGGTCTCTCGGACGTCGTGGGGCCGAGTGATGAGGCCCTGACGGGCCTCATCGTTTGGGCATGTTTTGGGCCCGTTTGTTGGTGTCTCCCATGCATTTCCTATGGCAAATGTCAAGTCAGCATTTTTTCGTTTTTTTTGGCGTTTATTCGAAAACGCCCGGTCCTTTGAGAAAGTTTTTAACAAGCACGCATCCCGTGGTCGGGTCGGACGTGTGTGCCGGTAGTGGTCCCCCTAATTACACTGGAGGGTTGATTCAATCTGCATCTGTATGGAAGCACTGAGTTCCCTGTCTACGGCTGTTCCCAGAATTCAGCCCACTCTCATTACAGCTTTGATACCTCAGGTCATGTCGCTCAGTTAGTTCATCACCTTTTTCAAAATGTTCTATGAACTGAAAATCTGTCATTGTTGACAGCTAAGTAGAAACAATTCACAATTAAACAGGACGTGAAACCAAAACTGGTGGAAATCTAAAAGGAAATGGTAGTCTTTCTTTCACAGTTAGTTACACCCTTACCCTTACCAGGTGTTTTTCTTGTCTCTTCAGCTGTATTGAGTTTAATTGTGAGAATGCCTTGAAGGCATTCTCATTATTGTTTTCCTGTTTCTTTTTATTATTCTTAATTCCATACGTTTTTGTGCGTTTAACTCCTTCCACATTTTTCAGCCATTTTCAACAAATATGGTATCAAAATGTTCAGCTTCTTCAGGACAATGGTGCTATGCCTTTTGGTGTTAAAATTGTTTCTTTTTAACTTTTTAAATTATTCAACTTTTTATGCTTTTTTCCTCTCATTGAAACGAATGGAGAAGCCTTCAAATCCTTCAAAAACTTTGACCTACTTCAGCCCTAACTACTTCAGCTTACTTTCAGCTAGAAACAAAATTCAACTTTGAAGTCTCAAGGCATTCAGCTATCCATAACTTACTTTTCACTTCAAAATATTCACCTGTAATTGAAATATCACAGTTTGAAAATCATTGAAATTTCAACTCCATCAAATTTTTACAATGTATTTCCGATGGAGCCAAGTTAGAGTGGGAGATCAAAGGGGTCATGTGACACACTGTAGATTTTCAGCCAGTTCCATTCATTAAAATTCTTCAAACTCTTTCAGATTACTTCAACATCCTTTAACCTTCACACACAAGTTATACCTTAAAACGTAGGAAAATGTGTCCTCTTTAAGCCAAAATATAAAGTCATTTAAGCTTTTAGATTTTGAGCTGTGACCCTCAGAATTAGAGCTGTACCACCAAGATTACCGGTACATCAATACTAAAATCGGACCAAAAACTTCAACAGGTCTGAAAAAGTCTCTTTTTTTAAATTGCTTCCGTTGACCCATTTCTGCCTCAATTTAAAAATTAAACGCAACGACGCGATCCTGAATCTCTCCAGACGCTCACGGTGTATTCAGAATGGATGTGGCTCTTATAGATTTGGCTCAGGAGCTCAGAATGTGAAGGGGAACTTTTGGCTGTTGAGCCAGTTTTCACCAGAGCTGCATGCGTATCTCAAAGGCTCCAGCTGGCCGTGACATGACATCTAACGACTGCTGGGTTATGTGTGTCATTCACGCACATGCATGCAGCCAGCATATAGAAACACAGTAATACACTGTATTACAAACAATCAATCATTCATGCCGGACTGTCCAGCTCCGTTTTAAACCTCCACTTTTACTTCTCTGCTGCTGTTCTCTGTGACTCATGTCAAACTTAGTTCTGATCATTTCCTAACTGTCTTTTGTCTGTTTTTTCTTTTTCACTATTCATAAAAGTGCTCATCTGATTTGTTTGACCTTCTCAATTGCACTCTTTTAGTTTAGTCTTCAAGTGGCTCTTCATACTGTCCTGTTTAGCTTGATGTGAAACTTAATTTAACTTAGTTATTATAAGTAGTTTCTTATAATCTTTCCAGCTTACATCTGTTTTGCAGCTAATTTTTCCAGGTTATCTTTAAAGTATCCTTCAGCCATTGTTCTTTTACTTTCCTCTGACTTTTTGCCACATTACAGTGTTCTCTTGTGGTGATGGTTTCTATATTTTTGTCTTTTTCTGCTTTTCTTTGGCGTCTTCTGGTGCCTCCCTTCAGCATTAGGCATTCTCACAGCTGTTTTCGCAGAAACAGTCCTTTCTAGTTCCATTTAGTTTAACATGTCTTTTAGACTTCAAGTTTTTTCTTTTTTGTTAGTTTGTTTTCAAACTTTTTTGGGCTTACCTTTCTGCCTTTAACCAAGTATGTTCTTCAGTAGATACCTCTGCTTCCTAATTCTGGCAGAGCAGCCCCATATTGGCTTATTTTTTATCAGAATTCACATATTTATATATGGAAATAGACCTTTTAGTGCACGTGAGCACAGATTTATACCACGATGGGGTCACTTCCTGTTAAAGGCTCCCATGGAAACTTATCCATAAATCCTCATACGCAGCTTATCACGTGGGAGCTGGGGTCTTTTGCTTCACCCATTTATGGTGCATTTAAGGGCTTGTAGACCTGGAACATCTACATTTCAACAGATTAAAGTGTCATTTTCTCTGTGCAAAGTTTCTGTGGAAATAAATAGTTTCATCTGCCCCTAATTGTGACAGACTTTTTTCAAAACTTCACAAGCTGTACAAATAGTTTGATCTTTTTTTAGATACAACTGATGTTAAAACGGCTTTTACCCAACCCCCATTCATATTATTTATCTATCTATCCTCTCCTACACGTTGATTGGCGAAAGGCTCCCACGATAATGCTTTGAACTCTTCAATTCCAATAAAATCAGAAACTGTTCTTGTGACTCAATATTTTTCCAGCTTCCAGCCTCTGATTCCAGCTCGCTGCCATGGTCAACAGCGGGGAAATGCTACCGCTGTGTCGTGATGGGAAACGGAGGCATCCTCAAAGGCTTACAGCTGGGCCCTCTGATCGACCGATTTGACGTGGTCATCAGGTGAGAATGACACAGATGGTGCCAAAGAGGTTTGCATAATTGGAGAGCAGCTTTGGGTCATGAGGATTTTGATCGGTCTCTGTGTTTATTTGTCCCTCAGGTTGAATAGTGGCCCTTTAGGAGAGTTCACTGACGACGTCGGACAGCGCACCAGCATCAGAATGAGTTACCCAGAGGGTACGCCACTCCACTGGGCCGACTTGGACCCAAACGCCCTTTTTGTTGCGGTGGCGTATAAGGGAGGAGACCTCAGCTGGACCTCTGCTATGATTAAGAAGATCCCTGTGGTGAGTTCTGGCACAGATGGTACCGCATCTGGTGAATTAAAGGCACCATTTTTATAGCGATAACGTCAGATTGTTTTCTTTTATCAAAAGTGGGTGAATGCAGAGTTTTACATATGAACCGATCATATTTCATACAATGCTGTGAGAAAGCCTTTATTCTTGCCTCACAGAGGTATCAAGCAACAGCCCTCCAGGCTTTCCAAAAAATGATTTTGACTGGTAATTCACTCTGGTCCATTGAATCTCACAATATTCAGAAGAACGAGGAATCTGTTTGTCCGTGTTAGTTAATGTTTGTTAAAGCCACTTAACCCCTGACCCGCCCTTTCAATCAACTAACAAAAGGAACCCGACTTGTCTGATCAATCTTTCTACACAGGCAACTTTACAAAGAACCAGTTTTATTTTTATCTATGAAACATTGTTGGAGATGAGTTTGACATGTAAAATAAAGTAAGTTGAATCTCTAAGAGCAGTGGTAGTGGCTCAAAAAAATAAACTTCTAAAAAAATGAAGCGGCCAGAGCCAGGCTCTTAAAATAAGCAACCCAGAGCGCACTTGCATTTTGACTTGTTTCAGTTGGGGAAAGGCAATTTTATATAGCACATTTGATGTACACAACAATTCAAAGTTCAGAAGTTGCCTCTTACTTCCTGAAGAGACAGACTGAAACCATGAGTGAAGTAGATTGGTTGAAGCTTCTCAGAAATCAGGGGTCAGCACACTGGTTTATGAGACTATTTTAAAGAAACCTCCATGGAGACAGCTACCCATTGCTGACATGCTTTCATAGTCCTCAGTGTGAGCAGTGTGTGCTTTGTGTTGTAGCCTCTGCTGGACTGGCTCTTCTTCTGGCAGAAGGTTCCAAGTGAAATCCCTCTGGAGCCCCAGATGTTCAGGCTTCTGAACCCCCGCGTCATCAGAGAGACTGCATTAGACCTCCTGAAATACCCCGAACCCAGACCACGCCTGTGGGGATGGGACCAGGTAGTTGATGCTGCCTGCGCTGAACATATAATCGTTTGTGGTTCTTTCAGATTGTCTAAAAAATGGCCTCCATAATGCAAAGAGACAGAGAATTGATCCTGGCTGTAGCCATCTCACATATTGGGCATTAGAGTGGATTTTTCGTGAAATGCTAGCTGTGAACCTCTATATATATATAAATTCTTATTCTCGCCCAGTTTACCCGAATGTTCATCACTGCTAAGAGAGTAAATGAGAGAGGACGCCTATGTGTGGTTAACAGACCACAAAACATTTGCTCTGCAGCAGCTGAGTTGTTACTGGAGCGTGTTGCCGCCAACCAAGGGATAAACATCTGACAACGAAAACAAACATCTGGAACTCTTGTGTAGAACATTTAAAATTGTCAGCTGGTGGTAGTCTCTAAAACTAGTGTGTCTAAATGTAAGTGAAATCTAATTGAGCAGCACTGGCAAAGCACCTTTCCTTTTTGGAGAGCTTTACAGCACTAGCTGTGTTAACGGACCACTTCTTTTTACTATAAAAGTTTATTGTCTATTTTTTTCTTTCTGTCCCCGCATTTGCACACGTTGAACAAATTGGGAGTGGGGTAGGTTGTCTTTCAGGGTCTTACCTGGGGACAGTCAACATGTGGGCTGAGAATCAATCCACAGTTCAAACAATGCATTGTCAGAGCTGGATTGCTTTCAATGACTGGTTGAAAGGGATCAGCTCGGGGGCCGCAGCGTAGCCTAACGGTTACAGCGGGCGGACTATGTGTGAGGACCTCCTCATAAGCGGGCGGCTTATGAGGAGAAGAAAGGGTTCAGCTCGGAACTGATCAGATAGAGGCAAGACAATTTAAAAAGGAGAAAAGTCTTGGTTTGGCAGGCTTTGGGCCTGTCAATGCAAGCACAGATGCATCCGTCTGCGTCGCTCTCAACCTTTGCAAAGCAAAGGGTTGTTTTGAGCACATCTAAAAACGGTCGTACCAGACGGGTCGTCATGTCTGGGATTTGCCTCATCGCAAAGCAGATATTAATCCGTTTGGACCTTTTTTTTTTTTTTCGAAAGAAGCTCGTAGCTTAAGCATCAACACCACATGTTGATGTATCCATCAACACCTGGATGTGGATTTTTATGAGAGGATAAATAAACGCTTAAAGCCGGGGTGATAAACTGCATTTTCGAGATTTTTTTATCTGCGTGGACACAAAGATTTTTATTACAAATTGATCTCATTAAAACCCTAAGTCGTGCACAGGACTGGTAATGGGGCATTGATTAAATCAGGTGTGTTTAAAGCTGCAGGACAGTGACTCACAAAGACCAGTTTGACACTTGTGCATTAAAGGGGTTTGGATTGTGTAAGGGCGTTAAAACGGCTTATTTCAACAAATTTATGTTGAATGTGCAGTTTTTTTCTTTTGTCTTTTTCTTTTGTTTTCCTTGCCTCACTGTGCATGTGCTAAAACATTGTGAAGGTGAATTTAATACCACATTTATCTCAGATCAAACTTTTCTTTTGTTCCAGTTACGGATTCCTAAACACTAGAGCAGTTACTTTTAATGATTTATTCCCTTTTTTCACCTTTTTTTTTTTTTTTTTGTCTGTACAGAACATTCCAACCCTGGGTGTCACTGCTCTGAATCTAGCCAGCCTGCTGTGCGATGAGGTCAGCTTGGCAGGCTTCGGCTACAGCCTGTCTCATCGGGATGTGCCGTTGCACTACTACGACCACCTGCCGACAAGTGTGATGCAGCAGCAGAAGATGCACAACGTGGACAGAGAGACTGAGTTTCTTCAGAAACTCGTGAGAGAGGGAGCCATAACTGACCTGACGGGGGGCATAAACTGCCTCTTCTGCCCCAGATGACCCTCCCCTCCCCTGAATTTATTTATTTATTTTTACAAAGACGCTTACACATAAATCGGCATGACCAAGAGCAAGCAAGGACTGAAAGAACAAGATAACGGCAAATACTGAAAGAAAGTCGATGGAATGCTTGGCACATTGTGGTGCCTGAGGAGAAACTGAGGTAAATAACGCTTTATGCCTCTCAGTATTTAAATATTTTACAGAGTTTATTCCACCGCACAGCAAAATGCTGGCACATCTGACTCGAAATAAGCTGGGACCAAAAGTGTTGAAATGGGTGAAGTTCAATCTCAACCAGTGGTCAGCCATTTCAACCGAAGCCAACAAAACCAAGTCGTCAAAACATATATATATATATATATTTTTTTTTTCCCCCTTAGTGGTTCACAGTGATACAAATATCTGAGCATATTTATTAATAAGTTTAGTCCTAATGGGATAAGCATGTGAGCCATCCTACCTGTCTGCATCTTCATTATTCAGTTTTGACAGTTGGACAATATGTGGAAAAAGAAGATATTTAAAAAAAAAACAAAAAAACATTAATTTGCAGCCTCAGAACTTTAAGTATTTTAAGCCTGCTTCAAATATGAGAGTCAATCATGCCGTAGGAACTGATGCCTTACACAAAACGTCAAAGTCAAGTTGTACATTTTTCTTTCTTGTTTTTCTTGTTGACCTTCAGAATTAATTCTTAATTAAAACCACTGTATACATAAAATGTAAGCATCCTACTTTCATATACTAGTGATTATCACTGGAACGTTTGAAAACTGTGGACACTTTTTTTTAAATTGTTTTTAAGGATCTCTCACATTCATTTGCGTAATTTGTATTTGTGACCACTGGCACATAAATGCACCTCACTGCCTGATGTTATAAACAGTTTAGTTTGTTTTCTTTATCTGTTTTTGTCTTTATTGGTATTTAAATTGAACTATGCACATTAACAGGATACTAAACATGATGTACATGTTTGGTTTTATCTTTATTTTAAAATATTTTTTGGCATTAAGTCTTCCTTTTTCTTGCATTCCCTTCTCTGAAAGATGGGGGGGGGGGGCATCCTCATAACTCTGGGCCCCAGGAATTCTTGTGATAAATATGACCAGAAGCTTGGTTGGAGGATGGTACTTGTCGGGTATACAAATCTTACAAATAAATTTACACAGTGACGGAACTGCTAAGAGGTTTTTGATCTTCTCAGAAGCTGATTGTGTAGCACACCTTGAAAAGTGACTGTTTAGCTGACCCCATCATTTTAATTTTATACTTTTTTTTCACTGTTGTGCTAGGGCATAAAGACAGCTAAAGAATAGAGTTTAAAATGCATATTTCATATCCACTTCAACTATAAAAAAGCTGGGGCCCAGGTGGGTGTACAGGATCACCGATGGACTGCTTGGTAAAGTTTGGTTCCCGAACACACTCAAATTGACAAAGCCCCTTCAAGGTACCGTAAGGTTATCCCAATGTCGTGAACATGCCGTTCTGCCCCAAGAGTTTTTCAGAATAGGAAGTCATTTGATTTTATTTTCAAAGTAATTATAAAAAGAATCCTGGTATCAATTGTACGGTTCGAAACTAATACAGCTAGGTATCGGCTACAATCAAAATCGTCAGAATTAGACATATCATGCGTTTACAGATTGAAACGGTGACATTTTAGCATTATTTACTTCTAAAGAAAGTATGTACAATGGTCTGGATTTTATTTTGACGTCAGACACCGGAAGGCAAGTTCAGTTTACTGCGCGTGGTCAAGGGCGAAAAGTGGAAGATAACTTCTGTCAACAAGTGGGAAGTGTTAGTTGTAACATAGAAATGTTATTTTTAAATGATCATTTAACTAAATAGAACGTCGTGCTGCAGCCTTCACTATACATGGTAAGGAACATATATTAATATTAGTTAAATACATTTTATGAACTCCTCACTGAAAGTAAGGAAGGAGCTCTGAATAGGCTATAATGGGTAATAACTTAATGGCATAGAATTCTAAAATTTCACACGTCTGATTTTACATGTATCTTAATCCGTAATCCTGTGAAATGTAACAGTGTTTCGCTCCGCGTAGATTGAGTTCAGTCGGCCACGGTTATTCTTGGAAACTTTAAAGTGGTAAATGGTTTACTTCGTCTTTTAAAATTAAAGTGAAGGGTGGTACGTGGAGATGCATGCTATAGATTCTGCGTAAATTAACGTGTCAAAGAGATACGACTGAGCAGCTGTGACACTTTGAGAAACTGGGATTTCTGAATCCTAGTAGATGTTTTTTTGTGTTGGTGTGTTTTAGGGTCTCGCCAAGTTACTCGCATGAATGAGTTTGAAAGTAACGAGTTTTACCGTTGTGTTGTGGCACAAACCACTTGAATGTTCTTAAGATGTACGTTATAAAAATTAAGTTGTTCTGTGAGGTCGTGCCGGTGGTGAGGCCAGCTCAAGTTTTGAGGTGAAAGGTGACTCGTTTCTGATTGGGTAACATCACATGACCTTGATTGGCTCCCGGTCGGTGAAGCCCCCTCCTTTCCCCTCTGACACCCCATGTGTCTGCGTGGCGTGGCGCTCGTTGGCGGTCCGGGTTGATGAGACGGGGCGGAGTAGAAGTGTGAGGAGAATCTTTCCTATCCGCAGCTAAACCTTTGGGTGAGACCTGATTCAACACTTTTGTGATACATGTAAAAGGCCATGACTCCGAGAGTAAAAGTAATAAGATAAATAATTCTACCATAGCAATTGCTTGTCATGTAGTTGTCAACCATGTATGCAATACAAGCCTTTGATTGCATTTATGCTCTCTCTGTGTTCTCTTTTTGTTTTGTTTAGATTTTGGATAAAATATTAAACAGAAAGTTCCCCATTGCCACATTTGCACTGTAATCCCCCTGTAAATGTGTTTTGATGCTCAATAAACCAGTAGAGCTCCCACTAGAAGATAGTTGAGCCTCAGCATGTTCCCCAATGATAGTCCAGGATGTTTAGGGATCTAGGATTTGTTCCATTAACAACACGATTGGTGGACAGACAGCCCCCCATCCTCTGTATATAGGTTGTTATTTAGAATGTTAAATAGATGATTTGGCACTATAGCTTTCCCCTAAAATTGTAACATGTAAGAAAACAGTCCAATCATAACTCTTTCTCTGAGCCCCAGAGAAGCTGGCAAAAACCCTGCAGGAAGCAGCCAAAAAATGTCACGAGACAATACAGTATGATGTTACAGAACCTAGCCAGATGAATACTATCATTACCCCATTTTAGAACGCTTATCATCACGCCTGGCCTTCAGAGGGTAAAGTATGTCCCAGCTGCTCCTCCCCCAGTTAATTTTTTTATCCTGCTCTCTTCCTGATTGCTTCAAAAGGTGCCCCATTAAGTAGACGTTCGTACTTCTGGTCAAAGTATAAAACTATTTTTCTGAGTATTATAGAAGATACCTCAAACAGGTTCTTGAAAATCATCCTGCCAGAGATGCTGAACATTCATCCTATTCTGAATAGCCCCTCTGTCTCTTTTACAGAAAAAGTGTATCAACAGCAGGATGCCACCATCATTTAGTCCCTGTGTACATTGATACTATGTATATGTGTAGCAGCTTTAATCTGATCGCTTTAAAATGAAGGACACCACACTAGGAATCAGGATCTGCACGTTTATTCCACCTGTAGGAGTAGCGGGGGACACGGTCAGTACACACACAGGGTGTTATATGCTCTCTCATGCTCAAGTGCAAAAGCTTCCTGAGTTTTTTGCCATAATATAAATAAAGAAAATACTTCTGTAAATAAAATGTACACACCAAAATAATGTGTGCCCTTTTAATATGTGAAATATTGAGTAAAAGCCAACAAAACAGTCAAAATATTACACATTCAAAGTGCACAACACAAAAATAATCACTGAATGAAAAATAAATTGCACTTTTAATATATGGCTTATCTTTACTGAAACTATGCAGTCCTTTCGTAAAAATACTTAACAGAATTCAGATGAACAATTTTATACCATAACACACCTATAGTGGCGGGGGACACAGTCGCTACGCACACACAGGCTGTAGATGCTCTCTCGGTCTCCTGTAGCGGATCACGAAATATGCAAATGAGGGAAAAATCTCCGTCAAATTTAATAAAATAAACAGTGGTTTTCACTTGCCAAAACAAGCTTTAATATATTCAGCAATGCGTTAGCAATGGTTTGGTTATGTTTATATTAAGACATAAAATTATGCTAGCTTAGCCAACTGACAGAGAGCATTACAACACATCTTACCAGTGCACAAGCCTCCCGAGCGGGCAGGTAGTGCTACGTCACTATCACATTGTTGTGTAGCAGTAATTAAAGTCCTCTCCGCTACAACAGATGACAAACCAAAAAGAACAACATATTAAATTTAACTGTAATGGAAACAATGGAAAATATTACGCACAGGTTTTGAAAATGTAGAAATCTAATTATTTGTAATATGTGCAACATATTGACAAGCTACATATGGACAGAATAAGGAGCAGCAAAAATTACAGCAAAAATGGTCACAAGTGTAGAACTCTGAGAAATACTGAAGCCTTTCTTCCCATTTCTAAAGCAGTCTTTAGCAATCCCAAATTTAAATTTCCCATTTTCAATTTACCACCATTTTTGGTTCATATTTATAATATAGAAAATTAGATATTTTTGTGTTTTGGTTGTTTTTTCTGTATTCTGGCCCCTTTAAGAGCTCCCCCTGATGACGTCAAAGAATTCTATCCCATAGCATACCAAGTGCAGAGCTGCTTTTTCGCCTTTGATCATCTTTTATCTCATCCTGTAAAATACTCTCAGCCAAACACACAGGGGTCATAGGTCTCTGTGGCAAAGGTGAGACATTGAGCCACCACTTTGATTTAAGGGAAGTTTTCTCCATAACAGCTTACTTCAATCTACTTTAGGGGTGTGAATCGACCAAAGGACCATGTTTACCTTCATTCTGGAAGTCATAAAGTTACCTTATCTGCGTTTCACTCTCTTCTCTGATAAGTATAACTGATTGACTAATCGATTGATTGATTGTTTACTTGCTGTCCTCAAGAAAATTAGACGGACTGTCTTGCTGCAAGCAGCCAATAAGAGAGCTCCGTCTGGCCTTCTCTTGGAAGATTAGTGGAGATCACCTTTTAACAGATACTGCGAGTGAGTGCTCGATGCCAGTTGGAGAGTTTCCTTCACATGAGTCTGTGGCAGTTTCTATGGCAACAAGAACATTCCTGGGGTTATCATTAGCAGAGGATCAACTGAAAACACAAAACGCCAGACTCACCTGGCCGCTCTCTGTTCCAGGTGAGTGAGGAGAGCATTTGGTGGAGAAGCAAAAGCTCAAACAGTACATTTTCTGCTTTGTGTCTGAGGGAAGTGAAGGCTAGCTTTATAGCTGTGATCCATTTGTATAAGGGGAATTGATTACTTTTTCTAGTTATCAGGATGAGTAATCGCCCTGTAACAAGTTGGATCCCAAAGTATTTTTTATTTTAAAAGTAGTAAATGACCATGCATTTGGAGGATCAGAAGTAACAATTATGTAGTTTTGGAAGAAGAGTTCAGTTTATGATGGTCACAAACCTGCAAGATGGAACCTCTAAGTTTAAGGTTTGTGCTCCTTTTGATACATCTGGTCTACTTACCATGTGCAATTTTTTTTCTTAAATAAGTGGTGTGTGGCTAATTGACTTCACTTCAACCTCCAGACTCTGTTGTTTGATATCTAATTGGTGTTAAGTGCTTATTCCGGGGTCTTTTCCTCTCGTTCCACAGTTCACTTCAGCATTTTCTTTCATTAAGGTTTTCCATCGTCTACACTACATTTATGCTATAATTTCAAGGTTTTCTTTCTTCCAAGGCACATTTGTTCAAATATTTGTTATAACCTCAGTTTTACATCCCTGATTTGAGACTTTATGATATTTAGGTCATTGGTCCGATCTGGTCTTTCTGTTTGAAGTCCAGGCTGAAGTCAGAATTTTGTTAATTTTTTCTCAATTTTTTCCCTTAAAGACAGCAGATTCTGTTTCTGGATTCTTTGTCCTCCAACAGCTGTTCTGCCGCACCCTTGTGTACCAAGGTGAGGCTGAAAGAAAGAAAAAAACACTTAATTAGAGGACCTGTTGAATAAATGACACCTGATCTGATTATACTGCAACACAAGGCCCAGCTCAGTGAGTTCCCCCGGAATCGGGAGTACACTGTGAATAACAGCTCACAACAGCCCTGTGTGTTTCTTCTGTTTTGGAGACTGGCACTATTGGAAATGGTTACGGTTATGTATTTCAGTGCTGAGAGTCGGGGGAACATTGAAGCGTTCTGTTATGGTATCTGTTGTAAGCAGATGTACGACACAGCTGTCGGAAGACTTTACAATCTCAGAGGAACAAAAACATGGCATTGGGCATTGTATCTTTGTTGAGGGTTACAGAGGAAAGCCTCTTCTCTCAAAAAAATAGCATGGAATAGGTTTTTAAAGTTGCATCCGAACCCATGAAAACACTTCTGGAATGATGTCTTTTGAACAGACAAGAACAAAGTACAAACACCTCATACCTGCTGTGGTGAAGCACTGATGCACCCACCAGGACCTGAAGTCCTTGCAGTCACTGATTCCAACATGATCTCCTCTGTATACCAACGTGTTCTAGAGTCATCAACAGGACAAAAATCAAAACAGCTGCAAATATACAACTGCACGTCTAAGAAAGAAAAGAAACTGGACTCAAAGTCCAGATTTTAGACTGATTTATATGCTGCTGTGGGACCTTAACACTGTGCAAACCTCAAATAATCAAAACAACATTAAAAAAAAGAGTTGATAAAGATGGTTCCTCAAGCTATGTGACTATGGGACAGGCTCAGTTTTTCACACTTTGAGGCTACATTTACCTCATTCGTAGCACCGGCAGGTTGATATTCTCTCTAATTTTCGAACCGATTGTCAAATATCTGTTACACTCATTCTCTTTTTATTGGACTTCGCAGGTCTCCTCCTTACTGGCCTGCATCTTCACACTCCAACACATAACGCACCTCTCCTGGGGTTCAGAACTTACTCTGTGCCATCAAACCCACCATCCTGCACCAGCCTGTCTGCCATCCCTAACAGCAGCAGTATGCTGAGCCAAGAGTTGCTACAGATGTTGAAGCTGCCGCATCTGGATGACGTCACACAATACATTAGGACAGCCTCCACCCCAGTGTTGGTCAGCGTTGGGGCGGTGGCAGCAGCCACAACCTATTACCTGGCAACACGGCCCAAGGCCCCCCCGCCAATCTGTGACCTCCAAATGCAGTCGGTCGAGATTCCGGTGAGTTCAAGTGCAGGTGTAAAAATAACACAAGCTTCGTGTGCAGAGCCACAAACAACTGCCTACACATACCTGCTGTCAGCATTTATGTGTAGTCAGCAAACCCTCACTTTCAGAAAGGTTGGGAAGTTTTATATCAGTAAGCAGCATCATAGTGTTTAAAAGAATATATGAACCAGTTCTAAATCCACTTGAGGTCTCAAATTATTTTTTAGCTAGCAGCAGCCTTTGCAAAAGACACCTTTGTCCATTCCACTCCTGGCTATAATGTTTATTGTGGCCACTTGAATGCTTGAAAATCACACACATTTTGTCTGGAACTTTATCCATCCTTTTCAAAAGAGAATGGTTTAAACTTGTTAGGTTATTTTTAATCTTCGGGCTTCTTTATCTTCCTCTTATCTGAGACCAGCGTACAGAGATCCAATACTTTCTTCAGCAATAAACCCTCATTCACACACTCGTAAAGTACATCATATATCATATAGACTACTGGTGCTTTCTATAAACCACAGTTGTCCTGCCCAAGGACGCTTTGACATGGAGCCCCGGTGGGTTGAGATTCCAATGAGTTTAAGCCAAATACATAACCGACCCATTGGAAGGCTTTATTGTACATCTGTACTCTAAAGTGGCCTAGAACCAGGAATTCCTGATAAAATCTTTTAACCTTACATTCAATTTTGTGCATGGAGTCGTTATAACCCATTTCTTTGAAAGAATAAACTGTTGATTTTATATACCTAATCCCGTAACCCATACCCGGTACCAGTTAATCTGCTCATTATAGAATCATCCAGAGTGATGGGATTTGTTTGCCTGTTTTTTGGTTGTTTTTTTGTCAAGTTAAATAAGTTTATATTCTAAACATTTGGGAATGAAAAGATTTCAGTTAATTCCTTTGTTTTTTGTCTCTACAAGGTAAAAACATAAAAGATCAGTGATTAAAAAAAATTATTTTGTATAATTTTGCAAAAAGTGTCCTGTGCTAGTTTTACCACTTGTGTTTGATTCTTTTGTGAGGGTGGAGATTTTGCTCGTCAGTCCCCTCTAATGCATGGGGGCGTTTTCCTGACGTTCATCTATGACGATGCCAGAACAATATACGAGCTGTTCATCAGAGGTTTAAGAGTCTCCAGTAAGTAAAATCCGAAACATCCCATGCTTTGCGTTACGATTGCTTTTTACCCTGAACACCACAAGCAGTTACATCACAGCGGTTGCACATATCCAAGATCAGTGCAGGTGTAAGTATTGGACTTTTTCTGTGTTTAGCCAGAAACAGATGCCTCACAGAGATAAGCCAGGGACAGCGTGTACCAAAGCATGATATATATGGAGATTGGAAGCACTTTCTGTTTCTTTTTCATCACCTTCCTTTCATACCTCAGATAACGGTCCCTGTTTGGGCTCCAGGAAGTCAAACCAGCCTTATAAATGGATGTCCTACAGAGAGGTGAGAGTTTGCAGCTCACAGAAAATGTGATGACCTTGTGTAAAGCTACTGGCACTATGAACAGCTGTTTGGGGGAAATATGAGCCAGTGGCATTTGTTATGAATGAGGCACCTGCTGCTGTTCCATCTTCAACAATGCTTACCTTGTATCTCCTTGTGTCTGTTGCCTTTAATCTCTAACGAGGTCGAACACTGCTGCAATTAACGCGCGTGTTGTGTGTGTGTCTATATTGTCTGTGTGCACGTATTATGTTAGGTAATGGAGCGAGCAGAGAATCTGGGTTCTGCATTTCTTCACAAAGGACACTCCAAGACCAGTGACCCCCACATTGGCATATTTTCTCAGAACAGGCCCGAGGTATATCCAGAAAGCACTTTAGAAGTTCTGAACACTCTTTACTATCTAATTTTATTTTATGTTATCTCAGAGGAGTTTTCTAAATTATTCACTAGTACCAATGGGTTTTGTCTGCTGATTCTGATGCTTAAACCCTGTTTGTGTAGTGGACCATGACCGAACTGGCATGTTACACATATTCTCTGGTGTCGGTTCCTCTGTATGACACGCTGGGAAAAGAGGCCATCGGTTACATATTAGAAAAAGGTAAATTGCAATGACAACAATGGGAACATTTGCAGCAGACAACCGTTTCTGCTGAGATTTAACCAGTTTCTCTGCCTGCAGCCTCTATATCAACGATAATTTGTGACACAGCGGATAAAGTCAGTATGGTTTTGGACTGCGTTAAAGATGTGAAGCACTCTGTGAAGACCATCGTCCTGATGGAGACCCCCAGTGACCACCTGGTCGAGAGGGGGCAGATGGCGGGAATCCACATCCTATCTCTGCAGGAAATGGAGGTCAGCAGGATAACTTTTTTAATCTTTATCTAATTTTCCTTAATCTTTCAGGCTTGTCATTCATCTTTAAATCCCACCTTGCCTTCTTCAGATAAACAGAACTTACATACACTGATGATAAATTACTAATTTTGAGGTCATTGAAAGTTATTTAAAACAGAAACTGATAAACTGAAACTGAGAAAGATTCTTAACAATGTTTCTTCATGTATTTTGAGCTTCCCGTGATGCTTCCTCTGCCATCGCCGCTTTTTTAAACAGCTTTTTTTTTAAAACAACTCTATTCTTACTATCCTGGATGAAACTAAACAGAAGTCCATTACTGAAACAAGTTGAAAGTAGGTGCAAAATCTCCACTATTGTTACAAAAAAAAAAAGATTCATGCTGTAAGTAGCAATTCTGTCTCATGGTTGTGACGTCAGGGTTTATGTAATTTTACTACTGAGTGTGGTACAAAAAACTAATTTAAAGCTCAGGTTTGCGCAAACAAATTGCCAGGGGTAAGAAACTGTTCCTCATCCTCTCAGTGGCAGTATTTATGCACCTATAGCATAAGCCTGGCAGCAGCAGGGAGAAGAGAGACTGTCCAGGATGGCTAGGCTGCTTCAGGATTGTCACGGCCTTTGTACTGATCCAGAGCAGCTTCCAGAACTATCTTCGTTATTTCCTGCCCTGTCTGGATGTGATGAAATATAATTTTTGTAAGCATTTTGAATAATTAAAAAAAAGAAAGGAAACAGAAATCTTTATAGAACTGAGCATTTCTGAAATTAAAAACCTCAGTTTGTCGTGTTTCTCTAAATGTTCTGGTTTTAGGCTTTTAGACAAATATTTCTGAGTTTCGTTTCCAGATGATTTTTGTTTCCCTCCCTGGTTTCTACTTTTTGGTTTTATTTCTCCTTTTTTTTCTTTGCTGGGACTGGAATAATAAAATGCAATAATTTTGCTTTCCTCCAACTCCACACTTTGTTTCCCTTTCCCTTTTATCACTGTGCTCTTAAATAATCTTCTCTTGTTTAGGCTATCGGGAAGGGTAACCATCAGCAGCCAGTTGTAAGTAAACATGGAACCTCTACATAACATCTTTACAGTCAGTATTTTATATGTGAAAGCTGGTGTGTACCCTTTTACGTCGTGTCCCACCCCCCGGCTTTTTTTCAGCCTCCACGACCTGATGACATAGCAATCATCTGCTTCACCAGTGGGACAACAGGTAAAACACACACAGTGAAAACCTGGTCATATCAGGGTTTCTATCAGGATCTAACATACAAACTATATATGCCCACTTTTAGGAAATCCTAAAGGAGCTTTGTTGACACATGGGAATATTGTGTCCAACTGTTCAGCCTTCATGAAAATGACTGAGGTGAGACACTGGTTTAAATCAAAATGATTTTTCCCCTAATGACGGACAACACATTTTGGGGAGTAAGGCAAGTTAGAAATATTTACCTACAATGGTATATGATATTGTATATGACAGTCCAGTAGGTGCTAAGTAGTAGGTGCTTGTACCAAAAGGAAAAAACAAAAAAATAAGTCACGTTGAGTACTTATTACTTAGGAAAAAGAGCCATAGATCTCCACAGATTTTGAGATAAAGGGTTTCACGACTCCCTCTTCCCAGCTCATGGGATGTCATCATTTCTTTTGCAGCAGTGGTTGTTTGATGTACAAACTTTAACCCTGGCTGCTTTCCCTCTCTGTCCTACTGTGTGTGGTGTGACGTGATGTAGTTGAGCTGTCCATTGTGTTCCAGTGATATCCACTTATCCTTCCTGCCCCTGGCTCATATGTTTGAGAGAGTAGTCCAGGTACGTTTGAGCAGTTACCATTGTGTCATTTTAGGATTATAGACTGTTTTACGCAGTCTAACGTATCCTATGTGCTGTCTGCGTGGCAGGGATGCATGTTGGTGCAGGGAGCCAGAATTGGCTTTTTCCAAGGGGACATTCGTAAACTGCCAGATGATCTGAACACATTGAAGCCCACTATGTTCCCCGTTGTGCCGCGACTCCTCAACAGAATGTATGATAAGGTAGGTCTTTAAAGGGGATCATTGGGCTGTGTGTAAAGGTGTGACCTGATTCAAACGGCAGGGATGATGCTGTTCCACGCTTGTGTCTATGCAGATTTTCGGGCAGGCTAACAGTCCTGTGAAGCGCTGGCTGCTGAACTTCGCCTACAGGAGAAAGCAGGCAGAGATGTCGAAAGGCATCATGAGGAGAGACAGCATCTGGGACCGACTGATCTTCAGGAAAGTCCAGGTACACACCAGCAAGCAAACTGATAACTCCTGACATGGTATGCGGATTGTTTAGGTCTACTCGTTTCAGCTTCAGGTTTCTATATAATCCCTGTCTATACAAAGCATCCGAGAGGGTGATGATAAAACATCTTTGAGACAGTGTGAAGATAAGTAAATTCATGTTCTTCCATTACATCAGCGTTCAAGCTCAGTTTTTTTATTTGTATTAAGGAGAGTAGCTACTACACTTAGGTGGTCTGGTTGTCCACCATAGCTCTGCCCTCAGTTGTTGATAGTAGTGGTCCAAAAACTCCAAAAAGTATTGGCAAACCTTTTAATTGCTTAAGTGGCACTCCAAATCCTGACATTCCCCGAAAAACTTTTACAATAAGCTAAAAAATTATAAAAAGCCTTGCCAGATGGAAAAGGAGCTGATAATAGATCCAAGTCCGAGCACTGCGGCCTCACAGCAACAGGGTTGCTGGTTCAAATCCTTGGGGCTTCAGGGGCCTTTCTCTGTGGAGTTTCCATGTTCACCCTGTATCTGCGTGGGTTTCCTCCATGTACACTCTCTTCCTCCCAACATTCAAAAACATGCATGTTAGGTCAATTGAACACTCTAAATTGTGTGTAGTTGTTTCTGTCTGTGTGGCTCTGTAATGGACTCTCCAGAGTGAACCCTGCCTCTCACCAATTATCAGACATGTGTCTTGCCACTTTATTTTAAGATTAAAAAAGACATAGAAAACAGGACACATTGGATATGCAGTGGTCATGTTTACCATGTGTTGTGTTGCACCCTACAGGCCAGCCTGGGAGGGCATGTGCGTCTAATGCTAACAGGAGCCGCTCCCATCTCTCCCACTGTTCTCACCTTCCTCCGAGCTGCACTCGGCTGTCAGGTAAGAAAAACTTCAGTTGCTGTTCACTGGCTATTTGATCTGCTTTTTCTGATATTTCTTTGGAATTTTGCAAAGTTTGTCATGTGTTGAGAGGCTGTTGTCCACACTTTTAATCTCTAATTTTCATCATCTATATGTAAAACCTCTAATTATAAAGATAGTATTATTAATTCAATTTCATGTGGTGTCCCAGTTCTATGAAGGCTATGGGCAGACAGAGTGTACTGCTGGTTGCACCATGACTACACCAGGAGACTGGAGTGCAGGTAAAGTAGCTATCTAAAATTATTGAAGTGTGTGGAGTGTTCATTGAAACACAAATTGAAACTGACTTCCTGTCCAAAGGTCACGTTGGAGCTCCTTTGCCCTGCAACTTAGTTAAGCTGGTGGATGTTCCTGAGATGAACTACCTGGCTGTAAACGGAGAGGGAGAGGTGGGATACAAAGAGGAGCAGAAGGCATCATACATGCTATTCTTCCCGCCTTACATTTATATGTATTTGTGCGTGCGTTTTGGTTTGCAGGTGTGTGTGAAAGGTGCAAACGTTTTCCTTGGCTACCTGAATGACCCGGAGAAGACAGCAGAGGCAATCGATGCTGATGGATGGCTTCACACGGGAGACATTGGCAAGTGGCTACCAGTAGGTTCATGCAGCCTTTTTTTTCACACATCGATTTTCAGCTTGATTTCACTCCCTATGAGCTCAGCTGAAGCTCTCACTGAATGCAGAGTCAGTTTGAACATAGCCTGCTTTTTTCCCCTCACAGAATGGCACGCTAAAGATCGTGGACAGGAAGAAGCACATCTTTAAGCTGGCTCAGGGGGAGTACATTGCACCTGAGAAGATAGAGAACATTTACATAAGGAGTGATGCGGTGGCGCAGGTCTTTGTGCATGGAGATAGTCTTCAGGTGAGCCAAAAAACGGGAAGGGAAGGGTTACATTTTTACAGATTACTTAATGTAATATAAAGATGAAACTCATGCTGCATTTCCTCTCATGTGTTTTGTTTATGTGCAGGCACATCTGATCGCAGTGGTGGTTCCTGACCCTGACTTCCTGTCTAGCTGGACTAAAAGGACACTGGGGCTGCAGGGCAGCTACGAGGAGCTGTGCAGCAAAGCGGTAAATCAGACTTTGCACACTGTCCTTATGACAAAAAAATTAACCAACTAGCCAATACAACACAACTACTATCACATTGGTTCACAATCAGGTTGTGAACTTGTCTGTTCACAAACTGCAGTGAACATTTTAATGATTTAATATTCTAAATTATTTTTGCGCTTTTATTGATTTTCCTGGAAAAATATCAGCTGTGAGAAAGCGATAATGGGAGGCCAACATCTAGGCATAGACTGAATGGTTTACACAATCTTTTTTTCTTTTTTAGGAAGTGTTTTCCAAAGTTCAGCTAAGAAAAAGAGAGGTCATATTAGACAAAATCAAGAAGGATATTAACTTTTTTTTTACTGTATTTGGCAGATATTTTAAGTGACTTTGTGTGAAAACGGCCCAAAGCTAACACCAAGTTATAAAACTAATATTGCTGCTTTAACCGGCTTTACACAACGTTAAACACAACAGTTTAAGCAAATGTTTTGATGCAATCTATTAAATCACAATACCAGAGACTGAGATGATCAACATAATGCAGAAATTCCCTGTTTTACATTTTGGATTTTAGAAGTGTAGAAGGTCAGAATGTGGCTTCCCTTTACAAAACATTACACAATGTCTCAGAGCACGCAAGATCGTTTGAATCAAAGCAATTTCTCATATCTTTTCTTTTGTTTTTATTGTCCAGGATGTTAAGGTAGCCATCTTGGAGGATATGCTGCGTCTGGGCAAAGAGGGAGGCCTCAAATCCTTTGAGCAGGTGCTGTACTCAATTTTGAAGAGGCTAAGAGTTTAAATGTCTCAGACGTGGAGCTCTGTACACCTTGCAGAGTTTTTATGCATGAGATGCCATGTTCACTCAACCTACCCCCATATATCTCCAGGTTAAAGACATCTACATCCACACCGAGCTGTTCTCCATCGACAACGGCCTCCTCACTCCAACAATGAAGGCCAAGAGAAACGAACTGCTCCAGCACTTCAGGTCCCAGCTAGACGAGCTGTACGCTGGGACCAAGATGTAGATGGCAAATTGGATTAGCAGAGAAGAGCTGTATGTGGTGGCTTTAGGGGAAATTAAAAAGAAACGGTGCAGAGCGAAAACAGTTTTTAACACACTATATTTATCAAATCAAGGAGGCCTTCTTAGACCGTCAGCCTGCAGACTTCTCACGTACAGTAATACCAGAAACAACTGGAGCAGGAGGTGATTTTCAGAGAGCTAGCAAAAGAACCTGTGGAAAAACCACAAAAACCGAGAGTTCTTTTATAATCGCACATTTTGATTTTAACCAGCTCTGTTTTTGAGGGGAAAGTGTTTTCCCCGCCAGCAACATCAGGCAACATCAAGGATCTCAGGACACAAGAGCCACACGTACACGCTCTCAACTCAGTCAGCCAGATTTATTTATGAAGCATATTTAGAAATATTCACACTTGACCAAAGGGCTTTGAAATCAGATCAAATTAAAAACAAAAACGAAGCCATGACTATTCTACAAAGTAGAACATTAGCTATGAAATATCACATCAGCACAAAAGGATCTATTTTGAGAGTTTTTAGTGAGTTTTATGTTTGCCTAAAGTTTGAGTGGTGTGTATGTGAAGAGGTGAGCTGTTTAATTGAAGTTGACGAATTGCAGGATCACCTCTATGTTTTAATCTAGACCTCAAAACTTTTAGGAGCCACTAGCTCTTTGACTGCAGACATGAACAACACCTGTTAAATAAACTGATGCAAGTGCTTTTAAAAGGTATCATGTAATAAAATCTTTTAACGTGTCCGAAAACAAACAGTGAGTCAGTGAAAGGATGCTAAAACCAGCGCCGTGGGTCCACGCCTTTTCTCTTATTTATTGATTTTTTTCTGGGGGGCGAATTAAAGACAAGCTGCTGCTATATGAACTATCATACAGTTGATCGTGCAGAGAAGACTGATGGCTCAGCAGTTTCGTGTAGAGGTGACAAAACTGTGGAAACAAATGGCTAAAAAGCTGCTCAAAGTCATTAAACCAGAGCTCCTAAGTGCCCAAAGCCCCACCAGAATGAGACGAACATAAATCACTCAGGCAAGATCAGGTGCCATATGGATTTATCTTGTAAGCCATAGTGTCCCACACAACTAAAATGTGTCCGTTAATTGATTATATTGTCCTTAGTCTTGCATGAATGAGTTTAGTTCCAGTTTTACCAGAAGGAACCAAAATGGATATTTAACACTTTACAAAAGAAGGAAGAAAAGCAAACTATGCACAGGAAAAACAAAGGATAGGATAAATTTGTGTGAGACTTTATTTTTTTGGCAGCAACAGGAAGGGAAATGCGTGTCAATGCAATAATATTAATATATTTTGTTTTTTGGTATGCTAAGTAAGTTTAGTCGAAATTCTTAAACCCTCTTGAGTGTTAAATGGGTTTAATTTTTCAGTTCAAGTCGGTTTTGCCATAATTGTCTCAAAGTCCTCATGTCATTGTTTTGTGAAATGTCTGATTAAAAATATCTCCAATGTCACCGTGTCGGCCTTTGAGATGGTTTCAGTATGTGCTGTGCATTTTATCTGATCTTAATTCACAACGGTTATTAATGAACCATTTCGCTTTCCGTAAGACTACACAATCAGCTTGGGCAGATTTGTTCAATAAATACGCAAATATTTGCTAAACTTTTTATGATAAAATACTGTACATTAGAATTTAAAACAACGCACTTTCGTATATCACTTAAACTAAAAACGATTTCAAATAATTCTGCATTCTAATGTATCTTGCACCCCTGTCCATGTGGAATGGTACAGCCCAAACTATTTGCGGGAAATCGTTTAAGTTTGAGCTACGACTGTCAACCACAGTACTTATTATTGAAGCTGTAGTCGTTAATTATGAGGTGAGAAGTTTTGCTTCTATAAAAATTTAGGACTCGAATTCATTTATGTTAGGTTCAGTATAAATATACCCTTTTTAGGAGTTGCTGCTTTCCTGTTCGTGAGAAAAATGGCCACAGATGCTGGTTTTGTCCTGGAAATGATGATATGCAGTATATTATGTCAAGAGGATTCAACTTTTATTTAAAATACTGCCCCATTATGAAAAGTTCTGGTTGCAGAGCAAAATCCTTATCCCTCTATTCCCGCAGCACCAAAAAGGGCAGAGGAGCCAAAGTGCTCCCAGAGGCACCAACAGAGGGAAAAGTAAGTCTATCCGTCATGGCTGTGGCTTCAATTGCTTTCTCCATTTTTTTAAGGCATTGTAAGACATTTTGTATTGTCTGTTTTTCCTATTTCAAGTTCTATTGAATAAAGGTTAATCTTTTGATTAGATGGATTCTCCCAATCTGTCCGCCATAGATAAAGTCAGCTTCATGGCGGGTCTGCAGATGACACACGGTGAGTCTTTGCCCTTTATGACCCATGTCAGCATCACAGTTTCAAAATCGTTTTTTATAGTGTAGTAAAACAGCGGTTAATGGGATAAGAGGACAAAGCAGATATGTCAATACATCTTCTGTTTCTTTGCTGTCATGCACTGATGTTGCCACACCCTCCTTCATTTTGGAAGAGATTGTACAGAAGCAACCTGTGATAAAAATGAGTACCAATTTTCTTTAGTGAAGTGTAATATGAACTTGCATGATAGGAGGTATTTGCTGCAGTACCAAGACTCAAACTGAGACTGGAAAAAAGAATCTTGAATTGAGACAAGACTCTTGGAAAGTATTCTTTAATACTGTATACATATGAGTGGTACTGCTTGCATACTTCAGAAGAGAAGACCTCAAACATAAGAATTGGGACATATTTATACCCTTAAGTATGTGCAAACTCACATATCTGTCTTAAAGGAATGCTCATATGGTTTTCTTTAAGAAATGTCCAGATTTTCCGCCTGTGGCTGTCTGGCACGTACCTATTGTGACTTGGTTAGATGCTTTCATTGTATTTCTGTCCTGGTTTCCCTTTTCTTTGGGCGTACATCTGTATAAGAGGACTCACTGTACCCCCTTTCCTGTCCTTTTAAATGTCCATCTTATTAAAATGTTTCTAAAGCTAAATACATTCCTGTTACTGCTGTTGTCAGCCTTTATACTGTGAATATCTGCTACACAGGTAATCCTCTTCACAGTACTGCTGTGGAAGAAGATTTGAACGTGTCTGATGAGGAGCAGATAGTTAAAGGAACAGAAAGAGGAGGGAACAGGCCTAACACCCTTAAGGCTGTTGGCAAACAGTGGGGAGTGACTGTGAATAGGAAAAGCACAAAAGAAGGTGAAAAGAAAGAAGTGGCGAGGAAAAAGACTACTACGCAGAATGCTAAAACCAGGTAGGGGTGAATTTAGGACTTTATAAACAACATTGCTGCAGTTGTGGTTTGATACTGAGTCATTTTGCATTGAGCAGGACAGAGAGGACGACTAAGAGGCGAGCAGATATAGAGGAGGATAAGAAAAGCTCAGAACAAAAAAACACCTCCCATAGGAGAGGTAATCTTGTCCTGACAGCTTATCAACATTTGGCTCGGAAGAAGCCCGCCAGGAAGAGTAGTGCGGGACAGGTGTCTGCAGAAAGGTGAGCAGTCACATACATAATAGTCCATCCATCCATTATCCATCCATCCATCCACTATCGTAATGATAGTGGATGGATGGATGGATGGATAATGGATGATACCCTAATGGGGTTGCGGGGAGAAGTGGAGCTTATCCCAGTAGTCAACGGGTGAGAGGCGGGTTACACCCTGGATAGTTCGCCAGTCCATCGCAGGGCTACACACAAGCCATACAAGGACAAACAACTAAGGACACTCACATTCACTCCTAAGGGAAGTTTTGAATGTCCAATCAACCTAACATGCAGGTTTTTGGACTGTCTGAAAAGGCCGGAGAACATGCAAACTCCACACAGAAAGGTCCTGGTTCCCCCGGGCCTCGAACGCAGAACCTTCTTGCTGTGAGACGACGGTGCTAACCACCACACCAGCGTGCCACATACATAATAGTGACTATTATATTATATACCTATAACATGTATATAATTTATATTATATACCTATACTGATCAACACGAACATGGCTCTAAAATATATATATATATATATATATATGTACATGTAGGCTTCACAAAATTGTAATTCAGATGGACAAAAAGACACGATTTAAAAACTCCAAAAGTAGGTGCTAAAAACAAAGTCTCAATGCCCCCCTCTTTTGAGGATATTTATCACCAATTTTTTCACCAGTGTATTCGTTTGTCTTCTTTTTCCCAACAAGACCTGTAAAACGTAGGCAGGCGGAGAAAGGCAAAAGGACAGAGAAGGAATCAGACACTGGAAGGAGCGCTGGTGGTCAGTCAGAGGTAATGCAACCAGTCAACGTTTAGCATTAGCACTCCTATGCTGATAGCTGATAGGTGGGAATTGTTGGGTTTCTGTAAATAACTTCAGAGTAGGGTCTGACCTGCTCTGTTTGGAAAGCGCTGTGAGGCAACTGTTGTTGTGATGTGGCGCTATATAAATAAAATTGAATTGATAGGGCTGCATTCCAACTGAAAATAAACTTTGAGAGAGACAAATTTAATGGAAATAAGAAATTAGAATTCTGCTAGATGGTCAAAGCTAAAAATACGTAGGTTGTGAGCACCTCTGTAACATTCAGTTTGTGTTAACACACAAAAAATCATAAATCAGTTAGAAATGTGCAGAGAGAAAGGGGAAGTCCTCCATCAGGCACCAATGAGTGGGGTGTTCTTTTTGTAGCTAGACCTTGCTGATAAGTGCTCAAGGGAAATAATAAACTTTTTTACCTCCTCTGCAACATAGATGTTTTCTTATCAACTCATCTCATTCTGGGTTCTCTATCCAGGCTTTTCTTTGGAACATTCAGTTAGATGCCACAGCAGGTTAAAAGCTGACCTGTTACACAATGTAATATGAATAAAAAGAAGATTCTACAGGACCCAGCGCGTTTTTTATGCTCAAGTTCATGACAGAACAGGTAGAAAATGACTTGTTTTGAAGTGCTGCAGGAGACACGTCATACTTCATCTACCAACTTAAAACCTTTATTTTTTTTCTCGAGGCTACATTTGGGAGATTGGTTGTATTGGAATTGAAATGTGAAAAATGCCTTCCAGGAGGAAAGTGACTCTGGAACAGATCAGCAGAGGCGCAGCAGATTCCTGTGCTCTGATAAGGAGACCGATGAAGACACCAGCTGGGTACGCACGACCTTCACACTCAATACACAGCAGCCTCAACTATGAGCCACATTCTGACAATTCACCTGCTTCTCTTTTCTTAAGAACCCAAGTCCAAAGAAGGCCAAGATGCCAAGATTTGGCAGGACTCCAAAGTATTTGTCTGATGGGTCCAAATCTAGAAAGTCCTCATCAGGTAAGATAAGCAGAAGATGACAACGTAGGAACCAGGGTCCAAGAATGTTTCCATCCGGGTGTTGGTTAAACTTGGATAACGTTAACCAAAACATTTCACCTAAAGGCAGTGCTTCCGGGGAACCTAAAAAAGCTGATGCTGCTAAAGACAGAGGACGGTATGGTGGTCGAGGAGGGACAGAGTTGGAGGTGGTGTTGGATGCCTTTCTTGATTTCTGTAACCAGTACAGGTACAACCCCATATCTAGGGGCTCTTTTTCTATAACTATATCCTTTAACTTCATGACCTAAAAGTTATGGTGTTTTTTTTTTGTTTTTTTTTAAGGGAGTCTGTGGAGTCCCCATTTCTCAAACAGTCCATTGATTGTTTCTCGAATAATGTCAAAGACCAACTCTTGGAAAAGGTTAGATTTGTTTTACTGCAGTCCTTGGGCTTTTCAGTTGTTTTTTTTAAATGAACTAATTAATTCATTTTAAATACAAAAGTAGAAAAAGAATATAGAAATACTTTTATTATTGTTATAAAAACCCCTTCCCCCACTACTCATACTGTTAACATGCACTTCATATCTGTATTAATCCCAAAACCGGCACGCTATCAGAGCAATCAGCTGTGAATATGAACTCCAACACACCAAACCATCAGCTTGGTTAAGCCCAGTGCTTCTTAGTTTCTTATTTATCCATTACACTCTTGCACAGCTGCTCTGTTAGGGGCGCACTTGCTATCTAAAGCTACTCATGATTTTTAACAATTTCAAGAGGAAAAAAAATTGAATAAAAGTTCAGAGTAATATGATGAAAACAAGACTCCTTCCCCTTTTGTTTAAAGGTTTAACTGGTGGCCAACCCCTAATCAAATATACACATTTTATTCTGTCTCTTCTCTTGTAGATCTCTTCTTATAAGGATACAAGGGTTCTGAAAAGAGAAAATGCCAAGGTAAGAAATATCTCAGCTATTGTGGCCTCATGTTATGTTAAAATGAATCCTGAATTAAGTTCGCCTTTAACAGCACTTGTTTAAAGTTAATATGTACTACTGATTTAAATGGAAAAGTCTCAGAATTGCATGTTTGGCCATAGCATTAGATGGATGAAATGCTACTATGGTAGCATTTTAAAGTTTTTTCTTTTTTCTACGGGTGTGAGTAAGGTGGGTTCCTCAATCAGCACAAAGACACAGAAACTGTTAAATGCCAAGCATGAGTTCATGAGGTGAGTACCTGTCTATACAAGTCCCATGTTTAGATAATCCATGGTTTGCTTAGCTCCAGCCACAACTCCACAATATTTGAATCCTATCACATTCAAATCCCATAAAGCAGTATTTTGTCCCCAATGGCTCAAATACATTAAATTGCAACAGTTAGTAAAGTAAATGTGTTTAAATGAAATAAAAGCACTTTTGAGAGTGAAATATTGACTCCATTTAAAAATAATAATAATAATAATTTGGGTCGTAGATGTTTTGGCTGAACTCTATCCACGATCCTCTGACTATTACGTGTCCTTGTTTCATAAGGGCAGAGAGGGAGGCGTGGCTGCTGCAGAAGGAGAAAGCCGACCTTGAGAACAGATTAGCTGATCTGAGAAGAGGCCAGGCCTTCCTCTGTGACATCAGAGAGCTCAGCATCAAATACTTGGACCACCGGCGCAAGAACACCACTGAGAAAGAGATGGTAATGACCTTCTTCACATCCCCTAAAGAGCCATTTTTATGTAAAAGGAGGAAAAAAATTGAAAGTAGTACATTAGATCCAGCAGCAGAAATATAAACTTTCTTTGTCAAATGTTTTTTTTAAACGAGCACATTTAAAGCATTGGGAGAAAAAAATGGTATGGTAATTTTCTCCCTCCTCTCTGCAGTATGGGGCGTCCAGCTTACCAGCTCTGCTGATGGAGACAATGCTTCAGCAGAGAAGGACCAATGACCAATGATCATAGAAAAAAAACAAGAGTTACAATGAAGCTAAGGCCGTCACTTAGCTTCATAGTAACCGATTAAAGTAAAGAGTCCTTTATGACTGTCATAGCATTTTAAATTTTAATCAGCATTTTGAAACCGTACGTGAGCCTTCAATAGTTGGAGGAAGGCGGGAACTGACCCTGGCAGTGGGTGCCATCATTGGGGATGAAGACGGGCATGCTGTTTCATGGGCTGTATCCAGCTAGGCAGGTGCAGAAGTAGCTGACGTAGGTGTTGTTGCACATTGTGTGCTGCCCACAGATCTTATTGGCTCCTATCTGGCACTCATCTTTGTCTGGAAAAAAATGGAAGGAAGGAAACAGGAAAGATTTTTTTTTTTAAAAACTCCTCTTTCTATTGGCTAAAATCTGTTTAACCTTTCTGTATTTTGCTCAGTCGTGATAGGTTTCTTGTGCGTTTTGTCATCTTTGGATAGTTCCATGTGTTGTCTTTGGCGTCTTTATGTGAGGAGAAAATACTCACTGAAGCCCCATCTTTTTTTCCCCAGCTTTTCATTTTACTTTGCCTTTTCGTTCCAGATTTTCTTCCTATGTGGGCTTTTCACTGTCATGAATGATTGATTCCCCTGCCCCCAACCCTCATGTATTATTTTTATTTATCATTGTGAATGCTTTTGTCCTTTGAATAAACCTCTTTGAGTTAAACGCTTTTTGATTTGTGCACTTCAGTCCTCTGTTGAGTCAAAGGTCGTTTTACAGGAATTTAAAAAAATCTTATACCAGTGATGGGTTTGTATCCTTTATAAATAAGGTGGCATTTATCCCCTGAATAATTAAAAGTAGAAGCTCTTTAGCCCAAATTATATTGTTTTAATTTAGGAGGAGAAAAAAGAACCAGCCTTCTTGAGAGGGGTTGGACGCTCTTCTACTCTGGCGTTGCCCCCGGTGAGAGGCGCCGAGCAGGAGTGGGCATACTCATTACCCCCCATCTCGGTGCCTGTACGTTGGGGTTTACCCCAGTGAGCGAGAGGGTAGCATCCCTTCGCCTGCGGTGGGGGGACGGGTCCTGACTGTCGTTTGTGCCTAAGCGCCTAGCGGCAGCACAGAGTACCCACCCTTTTTGGAGTCCTTAGAGGGGGTACTGGAGGTGCCCCCTCTGGGGACTCCCTCGTTTTGCTGGGGGACTTCAACGCTCACGTGGGCAACGACAGTGAGACCTGGAGGGGCGTGGTCGGGAGGAATGGCCCCCCCAGCTTGAACCCGAGTGGTGTTCTGTTTTTGGACTTCTGTGCTCGGCACGGATTGTCCATAACGAACACCATGTTCAAACATAAGAGTGTCCATATGTGCACCTGGCACCAGGACACTCTAGGCCGCAGTTCAATGATCGACTTCGTTGTCGTTTCAGCTGATCTGCGGCCGCATGTTTTGGACACTCGGGTCAAGAGGGGGGCGGAGCTTTCCACCGACCACTACCTGGTGGTGAGTTGGCTCCGATGGCGGGGGAGGATGCCGGTGAGACCCGGGAGGCCCAAACGTGTTGTGAGGGTCTGCTGGGAGCGCCTGGCGGAGTCCCCTGTTAGGCGGAGCTTTAACTCCCACCTCCGGGAGAGCTTCGAACACGTTCCGGGGGAGGCGGGAGACATTGAGTCCGAGTGGGCCGTGTTCCGCGCCTCCATCAATGACGCGGCCTCCCGGAGCTGCGGTCGCAGGGCGGTCGGTGCCTGTCGTGGCGGCAACCCTCGAACCCGCTGGTGGACACCGGCGGTGAGGGATGCCGTCAGGCTGAAGAAAGAGTCCTATCGGGCCTTTTTGGGGCCTGTATCGGCAGTCCAAGCGACGTGCGGCTCGGGTGGTCGCCGAGGCAAAAACCCGGGCGTGGGAGGAGTTTGGGGAGGCCATGGAAAAAGACTTCCGTACGGCCTCGAGGCGATTCTGGTCCACCATCCGGCGTCTCAGGGGGGGGGAAGCAGTGCCCCACCAACACTGTTTACAGTGGGGATGGTGTGCTGTTGACCTCAACACGTGACGTTGTGGGTCGGTGGGCGGAGTACTTCGAGGACCTCCTCAATCCCACTGGCGCGTCCTCCGTTGGAGGGGCAGAGCCTGGGGATCCGGAGCTGGAATCTCTAATCTCCGGGGCTGAAGTCACCGAGGCAGTCAAAAAGCTCCGCGGTGGCAAGGCCCCGGGGGTGGATGAGATTCGGCCGGAGTTCCTCAAGGCTTTGGATGTTGTGGGGCTGCGTTGGCTAACGAGACTCTGCAACATCGCGTGGACATCAGGGGCAGTCCCGCTGGATTGGCAGACTGGGGTGGTGGTCCCCCTATTTAAAAAGGGGGACCGAAGGGTGTGTTCCAACTACAGGGGGATCACACTCTTAAGCCTCCCTGGGAAGGTCTATTCAGCGGTTCTGGAGAGGAGGGTCCGTCGGATAGTCGAGCCTCGGATCGAGGAGGAGCAGGGTGGTTTTCGGCCTGGCCGTGGAACGCTGGACCAGCTCTATACCCTCAGCGGGGTCCTAGAGGGTGCATGGGAGTTCGCTCAACCAGTCCACATGTGTTTTGTGGACTTGGAGAAGGCGTTCGACCGTGTCCCTCGGGGTATCCTGTGGGGGGTGCTCCGGGAGTATGGGGTACCTGGCCCTTTGTTACGGGCTGTTCGGTCCCTGTACGACCGGAGTCAGAGTCTGGTTCGCATTCCCGGTAGTAAGTCGGACTCGTTTCCGGTGGGAGTTGGACTCCGCCAAGGTTGCCCTATGTCTCCGGTCCTGTTCATAACTTTTATGGACAGGATTTCTAGGCGCAGCCGAGGTGTTGAGGGTGTCAGTCTTGGTGGCCTAAGGATCGCATCTCTGCTTTTTGCAGATGATGTGGTCCTGTTGGCTCCATCAAGTCGGGACCTACAGCTCTCGCTGGAGTGGTTCGCAGCCGAGTGCGAAGCGGCTGGGATGAGGATCAGTGCCTCCAAGTCTGAGACCATGGTCTCTCACCGGAAAAGGGTAGAGTGCCTTCTCCGGGTCGGAGCGGACGTCCTTCCCCAAGTGGAGGAGTTCAAGTACCTCGGGGTCTTGTTCGCGAACGGGGGTAGGGAGCGTGAGATCGATAGGCGGATCGGTGCGGCGTCTGCAGTAATGCGGGCGCTGTACCGGTCTGTCGTGATGAAGAGAGAGCTGAGCCTAAAGGCGAAGCTCTCAATTTATCGGTCGATCTACGTTCCCACCCTCGTCTATGGTCACGAGCTTTGGGTAGTGACCAAAAGAACGAGATTGCGGATACAAGCGGCCGAAATGAGTTTTCTCCGCAGGGTGGCTGGGCTCTCCCTTAGAGATAGGGTGAGAAGCTCGGCCATCCGGGAGGGGCTCGGAGTAGAGCCGCTGCTCCTCCACGTGGAGAGGAGCCAGTTGAAGTGGCTCGGGCATCTGATCAGGATGCCTCCTGGTCGCCTCCCTGGGGAGGTGTTCCGGGCTCGTCCCACCGGGAGAAGGCCCAGAGGAAGACCCAGGACCCGCTGGAGGGACTATGTGTCCCGGCTGGCCTGGGAATGCCTCGGGATCCCCCCGGAGGAGCTGGCTGAAGTGGCCGGGGAGAGGGAAGTCTGGATTTCCCTGCTCCGGCTGCTGCCCCCGCGACCCGACCCCGGATAAGCGGAGGACAATGGATGGATGGATGGATGGATGGATGGAGAAAAAAGAAGAGAAAGAGAAACAAAAGAAAGAAAGAGAAAAAAAACAAAGAAAATAAAAAAGACAAGAGAAATGGGACTGGAAAATGACATGTTACCAAATACACTCATACACGTACTCTCTTCAGATATTTTTATATTATGAGCAGTTCCAATGCTCTTTAAGAACCAAATAATCTGCTAATGCAGATTCTTCTTCCTGCTTGCATTTTTTATTTACTATTAGAAAAATTGATTATATATTCTATATATATATTTATTAAAAAAAACAGCATCTCTTCTGTGCATGCTTTTTTCTATTTTAGTTTGAGAGCAAAATAGGAGAAATGACAAATATTGACATAGTAAGTAAAAAACAGGAGGTAACTGTCATGCCTTTTTTATTTTGATTCTTCTTTTATATCTCTGTTAAAGGTTTTATTGTCATGATCTCTCATCCGCAAACACATTTGAAGTTTTTTTTTTATAATGCAAATTTTATTGAGTTTTTTGTTTTATAAAACATACAGCAAATATGTCAATATGCCACACCGACCTTTCCAAATCTACTTTACAGTTAGCCAGTTGGTAAAAGAAGACCTTGTACAATCATACTGATGCATTTTACATAGGAGGCTGTATGTCACTTAAGAGGCCAGTTTAAACCTAGTTGCCAGCCATTCATCATAAGGAGGAGGGTTCTTTTTCATCCAATGTCTTAATAGAATCCTTTTTGCTGTAGTCAGAGCCAGAACAAGCCACCTCTTGTCAAAAGGTGAGAAGTGAGAGTCTGGGAGTCCTACTGTGGAGCCTAAAACTGGAAGCTTGGCAGTGATATAAACCTTCTTTTCAATATTTTGAAAATGACTTCCATAATGTTCTTCCACCATTCTTGAAGAGCAGGACAGGTCCGGCGAATATATAGAAAAGATGCTCCCCTCATTACATCTCCAGAAAGTGTCTTTTGGAATCAAATTCCATTCATGAAGTTGTTGAGCGGTTCTATGCCATCTATCGATGAGTTTTAATTCAATAAACTTGTTACTCATTTCTTTATACATTGTGTTTACATTTTGTAAACATGAGTGCAAATCACCTTCAAAGATGTCCAAGGCCATACTGTATCTTTAGTCCATTGTTTTTTTACCTTTGATAATGGGTCAACCAATTGAATAAGTAACATTTTGTATATGTTAGAGATAATACCTTTGCCATTGGCCATCTTACAAAGCAAGATTTCTACAGAGCTGCACAAAGGACATCTGAGAGGGCTTCCCAGTCATTAGGACATGAACTACGTAATTGGACATAGTGAGGCAAATTATACCTATCAACAACCTCATAAAAACTAGTTTTTCGTTTTGGCATTAAAAATGGAATACCCACTGTGGCCAGTTAACCTATTTTGCCCCAATAAGATTAGTTTTTCTATTCCATAAAGAAGCTAATTTGGCTGCTGTAATAATGGGATGATCTCTGTGCATTCTTGTTTTGACAACAAATAAAGTAACCCATGAAGATTCACCTCCATTTGCATCAGACTCCAACAGAAACCTGGAAGGTTTATCAGAGGAATTAAAACTGGGTAACCAAACTCTAAGTTGTTTTGCTTATAAAGCCCAATAATACTATCTAAAATTAGGTAAGGAAAAACCACCTTTGTCAATACTTGCTTGTAACTTTTTAAAACTCAGACCGTGATGTGATTTACCCCATAAAAAATCCAATATCAAAGCATCTAGCTCTTTAAAAAAGGAACCTTGAATATTCAAAGGAATGTTACTGAGGAGACCACTGGTGCTATCATCATCTTGATAGAGTCAATTTTTCCCCACAGGGACGAATTAATTTTAGACCACCTAAGACCATCAGTTCTTATTTTTTCTATCAAGGGACCAGTATTCATTTTAACCATATCATTATAATCAGAAGTGATCTGTTTACCCAAATATCTAAAACTTTTGGGAGACCATCAGAATCTCCATTTTTTAAATACAGAGGAGGGACAGTGTCCAGACATAGCCATAGCTTTATGCTTATCCCAATCTACTTTGTATCCAGACAATAATGTAAAATCTTCAATACAATTTAATAAAATGGGAACAGATTCTTCAGGTTTGGTTAGAAGGACATATCATCTGCATACAAAAGGAGCTTGTGACTGCTGCCAACATTAATACCATGAATGGCTGTATGACAACAATTTTTTTGAGCCAGAGGTTCAATCACAATCACACATAAGCCAGTACTCAGTGGGCAGCCTTGTCTCGTGGACCATTGTAACTGAAATAGGCTAGATACTAGTCCATCAGTTAATATACATGCAGAGGGCTTTTCATATAATATTTTTACCCATGTATTAAAATAGCTCCCAAAGCCAAATTTTCCCAAACATCTTAAAAAGGAACTCCCATTCCATGCAATCAAATGCTTTAGCTGCATCCAATGATAAAGCAATAGTTGGTTGTGTTGAGTCGTATACATGATATTGTAAATTAAATAGTCTCCTAATATTATCTGAGCCATACGTGTTAGGTAAATCCAGACTGATCTGGATTTTTTTACACGGAAAAAAGGAAAAAGAAAAACCGATACAATGTTACCTATGCTTGAGTCAACTGAGTTGTTTACCATTGTTTCTGATATTAAAAAATAATTTATCCTTGTACAAACATTTTGCACGGGTGAGAAGAAAGAATAATCTCTGCTATTGGGGTGCATCAGTCTCCAGATATCCCGAAGGCCATTATTAGAACATAACTGCCTGATGGCCATTGCTGACCGGCTTTATGTATTAGTGCGTGGTTGCGACAGGCCTAAAACCCTGTCCAGAATTTTGTTAAAATCCCCAGCCATAATTATTTGAGCACCAATATAATTTGTGATTATTTATGAAAAAATTCCGGTCTATCTGAATTAGGCTCATAAATGTTACAAAGAATTACTGGTGTGGCCAGCAATTGTCCTTTGACAACAACATATCTACCATCCTGGTCCCACAACACAACACCCTTACAGTGAAGTTAAGGCCTTGTAGGTAATGATAGACACCCCTCTACTAGCGCTTGTTCCAGTGCTTGAAAACACTTTTCCTATCCAGAAACCTTTAAGTTTAATTCTCAATAAAACTCAGATTTGGTTAAATGAGTTTCCTGAATATAAACTTTAGAGCACTTTAAATATGTAAAAATCGTTTTTCTCTCAACAACATAATTCAAACCCTAAAGGCTGGCCAACTCATTAGAAGTCATTTTTTAATAATCATCGATTGAGCTTCACCAGTGCTTATGCGCCAACTGGGTTCTGACTTCTGTTTTAGTTTTCACTACCATACGTACACCTCCTCCCGCCCACCGGCATTCCTGATTGGCGGAAAAGTTTCCGAACCACACTTTGAAAGATAAGACATTTCCTTGTTAAGGGAACTTCATCCACGACACCTCACCTAAAAGAAGGTAGTCTTACAATTACAGTAACGCGTTCTTTGTGGTCAGTGGTCACTCAGGAGGCCGACGAAGGCTGTCACATTCGTTACAGCTACTAAACGGGAAGGCAGGCGTCAGGTGTTATTACTCCTGTCGTTAACACTGAACGGACAACACCCGAGGCAATTACACCGTTTGTAAGTAGGCCCACGAAGCGGGCGGCTTTTGTTTGACATTTATTTGGTGTCTCAGAAATGTCTAAAACATAAAACATGTGAGTCAAAATGTATAATATAATAGTTCTAGCACTTTGTCACCCAGACACCGGTTCGTAGGGGAGACTAATTATATCTGCGTGTATGCATTACAATAAGCCCCCACTGGCTTGTATAGTAGAAAGTGGGTATGATCACTTCATCTGCATCTCTGCTTACTCTGACGTGCCCATCCTTCTGGGCTCATTAGCCGACATGATCTTTGTCCAAAGCTTCAGAGTCCAACTGAAGCTATTTTCTACGGTTAGCCTCACGGTGTTTTTTTTATGGGTAAACTGCCTTCACATTGCATATGGAAATGCTCTGACTTTCACTATTAAACTGAGTTCTAACATTTTTTCTCTTCGATTTGAATCTGGTTATTGCATCAGTCTGGCTCAAATAACTTGTGTCATATAAGTATAGTTGAGTACATTTATTCACTATAGCTTTGTCACTTGAATTCATGACCACACATTTGTTTTATAGAAGTAGTTTTCAGAATTTACCGTAACTCACGCACAGCTTCTGCTTCGGCACACTAATACGAGGCATTTTCTGTATTTACTTATCTTTTGTTTAAATTTAAATTTGGATTACATTCTACATAAACTGCATAACTCACGTAGCTAAAGGTAAGGAACTGGTTTAATTAGGTCCATGGTAAACTGAAAGTAAGAACTTAATATAGACTATTATGTGCCTTTTACAAGCACAAGGTGTCATTATACGTTATGTCTTATAAACGGTAAGTACAGTGATAAATAGTTTTTTCTTTTGTTGCATAATTGCTGATAGAAAGGGGCTGTAATAATTTAGAGTCTTTTTAATAGAGTTGCTCTAGAAGTCAGCTGAGTGCTGCGTTACTGTAGGCCTACTTGGTGAAACCCAAGGGAATAAGTGGACCCGAATTGAGGCTTTCCGAATGACCACTGTGCATCCCATGGGTCTCCTTTTGTTGTGGCTTTCTGAAAAAGTTTATCTTTCTTTGAAAGAACAAATTCACTGTGGTTAAATGGTAGAGTTTTGCTCGTCACAAACATTTCCCCTAATCGGAAAAATTAGATGTTAATGAGCTCTTTTCGCCAATTGAAGTGACCACTAGATTAAGTGCGTGGTGTCCTTCGATTTCTTTGAGTCCATATGTGCATCCAAGTATGCTTAATTTCTAGATAGAGTAGTTTTCCAAACTATTTTGTTGGAAAGAGAAGGACCTGAAGCCCGAACTCTCTGTAGAGTGATGAATTTGTACACTCTAGATTAGCCAAGTTTCTTCCATAAATAGCCAGAGAAGTTCACTAAAATCCTTTTGTGAGATTTATCAGACTCCTGGAAGAAAGTCCTCTCTCACATGAGACTAAAAGTTTTAATATTTTGTACATTGAAAAAGGAAACCACCACCATCCATCCCGTCTGTGAAGCCAGGTGGCAGCGGTGTCATGCTGTAAGGATCGTCTTTATTAGTAGGGATTGGGAAATTGGTCAGAATTGAGGACGTGATGAATGATGCTAATTTCTGGGAAATCTTTGATAACCTCTATCAGTGCTTTAGACTTTAGAGGCTTACTTGCTGGCCAGACAGATGCTTGGGTGACATTTGAGTGGCTCTTTAACAGACAGATTGTTGATATTACAGATAAAAGGATTATTTACATTCCTGTTTGCAGAGACATGGCTGACGCTGCTGGCGACTGTGGTGGTGAGACTAGCGGGGACACAGTGGACGCTGCAAAATGGTTCACTAAGAGGTGAATGAAGTAGATAAACAAACATGCATCTGTTCTGGCAGATAACTGAATTGTGAGGGCCATTTCTTCTGTTTGTTTTTTTTGCAAGTTATGTTCTCTTCTTACTGTAGGACAGCAGAAAACAATAAGAGGGAAGCAGAGGAAACGGACTCTAAAGCAGCAGACCATGACTCTTACCTCTACAAGATGGACTATCCCAGCATGGGTGTCTGCCTGATCATCAACAACAAAAATTTTGACAAGAGAACCCGTAAACACACTTAATGCCTACTGATTGTCTTTTTGTTGAGTGGAGTCATAGAATTTGTACTAATATCTGACCTGGTGAGGAACCAGCAGCTGGACTAACAGGATGTAACCTCTAGAGGGTTTGATGCTCCTGAGCCTCACACCATGCTCACGTGTTCTTTGAGCTGAACAATTCAACATGTTTTGAAATCCTGCTCTGTCTTTTTCCAGAAATGTCCAATCGCATTGGAACAGATAACGATGCTGCCAGTGTTGCGAAGACCTTCCATGAGCTAGGCTACAAGATTAGAGCATTCAATGACCAGACTGTGGACCAAATGAAGAAACTGATGCTGAGCGGTAGGTTTCTGACTTCTTCATCTTGGCTGTACACTGATGAAGAATCCTGCCTGTCCTGTGAACCCTGGGAAACTGCAGGTCACTGCCTGCACACCAGCTGCCTTAGGCTCTGCTCAAACACCGTGATCTACGTCATGTCTTACCACAGAATCTCATTCAGAAGGAAGTGTGGGTTCTGCCTCAGCTGCATGTTATATGCCTCTGTAATGCTGGCTGAGTTACAGTTTCACAAACACTGCACTGTCCCATCTATGTGGAGTTTGTGCTTTAAAGTGGTCCTACACAGTGACACACTTTGGCCTTTATAAAACATTTTATGTAGTTTTACAAGTCGAAATTGGGATTATTTTTGTGAATAGTCATTTAAACGTTTCCTTTTTAAGGACACTGTAAATGTGGATGATCCTGGTGGTTTCACGTCCAGTCACAAATCTCTGCCAGATTCCATCCTGAGAGGGGAGCTTCTTTCTTTTAATGGGACTCGGCTACATCTGTGATATATGTTGCTAAGCAAATCACTATGAAATCACAGTGGTTCTTAACAAATCACTTTGCTAAGAGATGAATGGTTTCCTTTCTGTTCCTCTGTGTCTGCAGTCGCTGATGAGGACCACAGTCAATGTGCATCCTTTGTGTGTGTGCTGCTAAGTCATGGAGAGGAGGGTGTGATATACGGCACTGACGGCATGGTTGCGTTTGACAGCCTGATCAAATGCCTGAAAGGCGGCTGTAAGAGTCTGGTGGGGAAACCCAAGCTCTTCTTCATACAGGTCAGTCACCTCGACTTGTTTTAAATGTGTGTACACGTCCGGGTTGATTTCAGAATTAGTGTCAGGTGTTTCACATTATTTCACATGAGGCTTTATGCGTTGTTAAATAAGCTGTCCGACCCTTTCAGGCATGCCGCGGTACAGCACTGGACGACGGCATAGAGACAGACAGCTCTGGAGGGCAAGTTTCGGAGAGGATTCCGGTAGAGGCAGACTTCCTATACTGCTACTCCACCACTCCAGGTACCAGCCACAGCTACTTCATGTTTTATGTCCCTGCCTAGTGTTGTTAGGTCTCACAGCTAAAACTGTAGACTGACCTGCAGGCTACTACTCCTGGAGGAACACGAGCCAAGGCTCTTGGTTCATACAGTCCCTGTGTGAAGTGCTGCAGAAAAGCCGGGAAAAGCTGGAGCTGATGCAGATTATGACCCGAGTCAACCGGAAGGTAGCGCTGCAGTTTGAATCCTCCTCCAACACGCCTGGGTTTAGTGGCAAGAAGCAGATCCCTTCCATCGTGTCAATGCTGACCAAAGACTTTTACTTTCCCAAGTAGAAACTGCCCACCTGTCACACAGATTCCTGTTCCTCCTTCAGATATGCCAACGAAAAACAGGAGATCATCAAAATGTGACAATGTTCAGTCAGCTTTGGGGTCAAAGAAACAGATCAGAGAAACCTGTTGTGTTGATCCTCATTGAAACATTCAGTTAACTCCTGGTGGATTAATTAGACAGGTGTTAGTCTGTGTTAAAGCTAATTTTATTTACAAGGGAATAAGTGAGCCCGAACAGCTGCAGAACAAAGGAGTAGAGCCAGTGTCATGTGGAAAGAGGCAGTTGCCACGTGTGTCACCACATCTGTTGTAAAACCTCTATTAAGAATGGTTTATACACTTATCAGCATATTTGATGCTATTTTTAGGAAAACACAATTAATTGTCACTCATTCCAAGTCCGAAGCTAATAGTCATTAAATGACATCCTAATCTCTGATTTGGACAATTAAATAAAATGTATAATGTCATCTCTTATTCGTTGTCGTATCAATTTCCTGCGTGTGTCAGTGAAAAAAACAAACAACCTGTTCAAATAACCCGTCCCAACAACCCCGCCCTACTTTTTTTTAGTTCACAGAAATCTGCTCGGTGCAGTTAAAAATGTCAGACCTTCTCCGAAACTTGCTGAAACCTGTTCTACTCTGGACTTCCCAGAACTGTAGCAGCCTGTTTTTGTTGTTTGTTTGTCTTGTTTTTATAATTTTATAATGGAATTTCACAGACATAACACTAACATTGTAATACGTATCATGGTTTGGACTCTCCAAATTAAAATACTGTCATAACAGAATGTATTTGTTCCTTAATTATTAGGAATGGTATTTTTTTTTTAAAGGTTTCTGTGAATGAGGGTGGCTTAACCTTTGAACGCTAGAGGGAGCCAGAAGCCCTGCATTCCTCATGAATCAGCACCTTGTCCTTATTGTTCCAGGAACTTCACATGTGGTTTAACCTATTATGTGGAATTTATTGTTTTATGACACAAATTGGCATCTGTTTTTACATGGTGAGTGGCAATGTTTCACCAGAGCCTTAACCTTTGTGGAGTTTCACTTTTACAATGATATGTTTAACATAAAAACAAAGGCAGAGGACAGGAAGACTAACTAAATCCACCCCACAACTGAGTAACTTGAGAAACGCGTAGGATTTCATTGATTTTTTAATATAGTTTTGGCATGCTTTTTTTTTTTTAGATAAAACGTTATGCGAAAATTCTTTGAGGTTTGCTCAGCTCTTGGGTGAGTAATTAAACCTTGCTTCACACTTATTCTTTTAGTTAGAGAGCTGCATTATTAATGACACATTTGTGACTTATTCTTTACACCTCTTTGTGGTCTTTTTTTGTCTACGCTGTAGCTTTTGTTTTTGTATGCCAGACAGATAGTTTTAATAACAAACTTTCCCCTTCTGTTTGATAAACCCCTCCTTATCTCTCCTAGTGTGAGGCAGAGATAACCAATGACTGTTTGCAAGGCTGCAAGTGGCCTTGTGACAGCTTATGTTTATCATGGAGAAGCACATGTATGAAGGTTTTTGTTTTTGAAAGGGTCTCTAAAATAGTCCTTTCTATCATGTGTTTTCTTACAGCTGTTTCCTCTGGAGTAAACAGAGAGTTTATTTTAGTGTTGTAGGTTTCTACTTCTTGAACCCCGAGGAGCTGCTTTTGCGACAATATGTGTGTTTATTTTAACGACATCTGTTAGATCATGTGAAAGTAATGTATACTTGTTAGAGATTTTTCCTAAGAAGAATCTAATTCACATCAACATTTCTTTACAACGTGAAAAATATATAAAACTGGAATCATTCATATTTATGAATCAATAAGAAGACTGAGTGCATGAAGTCCTTCGGTTATATTTCCACAACTCCAGGTCCTTAATCTTGCGCGCGCGCGCAAACACATATTTGTATGAAGTTTCTGGTTTCGTTTCCTACAGCAGCCCAGCAGAACAGAAAGGGCTGGTGCGGCTACGCAGGGGGAGGGGGGAGAGACAGAGGAAGTGAAAATGAAATCCAGCTCAAAGATCGTCTATTTAGATTAGAAAGCCCATTCCGTAACGTTCCTGCTTACACTCTTGTCGTTTGGAGCGAGCAGATCTGTAGTGCCGTAGACTGCCAGTTATGACTTGTTCTTAGAAATGTTTTATCCACAATAACCAAGTTACATACTTGACAAAAGCAGCAGCGACTTACGACGCAGCGACGTACGTAGGAAAATAAGGATTGACAATAGGCAGGGAAATTTTTAAAGTCCGATAGATGCACCCTTTTTTCTTAGTAGAGGCTTCAAAAACATCATTTGATTAAGTCGATTGAGTGCGTATCCAACTGCCTGATTACATTTAGATAACGAAGATGTCATAACATGGAAAAGATGATACAGAGTGAGCCCTCCTCGCGTATTTTTTTTCTGAGGAGCGCGCAAGCGGCCAAAAAGACTTCCGCGACGCCAGTCAAGACCGACCCAAAGCGATAGCACGAGAGCTGGAGGGGGATTTCCAGCTCGAGCCCTCACTTCCCGAAGCTGCAGTTGTTTTGCTTTCGGTCTGAATGCTGAAAGAGAAATCAACGACGGCCACCATTTCCAATTTCCACTTAAAACCTCGAACTACTTGTCCAACTTCGGCCCCATTTGTTATTCCGACGGCGGCACTGTGAAGCAATAGGCCGTCCAAACTGAACAGGTAATATTTGATTTCCGCATATTAACGCTACTTTACAAGCTCTCACAATACACTGACTTTCCTACAGGACGACATGGCAGATCCCCTTGCTCGCTCTGTAAGTGAAAGTACGGCTGTAGTTTTTCTCTTGCTTTGTTGACGAGGTATGGGATTTATTTTCACTTTTGGCTTCGTTGTGTTTGGGCCGGCAAGCTGGAAGGCAGAGGACCAACAGACCGCGGTTAACTTTTGACCCGACCACATGGCTAAATCCAACTTTTCTCTTAGTTAAACATGTCTACAACCCCGAAGAGCCAGGCTATGAAATGGAATTTAACGCGCTTTGCTATTATTTTTTGCCATATTTGGTTGGTGTCGTTTGGCATGTTTTAAGTTTTAGTAACCGTGTATTCGGCATTTGAGAAATTAACTTACTCGCTAATGTTCGCGGGGTTTTCTGTATTTGTTTTACAGGATAACATCGAAGGTATTACTGCGTTTGCACTAGTGATACCCATAACCCACCTCGTTGCCTGTATATAAACCTGTTGGTATTACGGTGAAGTTAGAGGAAAAGCATCAACTCTGGACGTTCTAAGTCAACAGAACAACTTTCCTTTTCTAAACAGTAGAAAAGTAACTTGTTGGTTCAAATATAGCAGAGGTTTTCTGACGTTAGAACTCCTGCAGACTTTTAATATTCTTTTGCAGTCTTTGAAGGCTTTCTCTTAACTTTATCTGCCCCTAAAGCTTTATCTACTTTGCTGATTGTGAGTGCAGGACGCATACAAACCGACATACACTATATCCTCACTACAGAATGACACTGTCATTTTGTTTTGTTTTTGTCACACACACTATTGTAAAAAGTATGATCCTATATTGTTGAGCTTCAGGGCCAAGTTGGGAGTTTTAGGCATGGTAGAAAGAGGAAAATTAGTATTTGACGCTGTGCCATGTCACCCTGTTTGACCTGTTGGGGAGCTTATTCTCACCAGAAGGAGGTGTGTGTTGGCACACTGGGAGTGTCAAACCCACCGGACTTTGAGCATATCACGCTGCTGCAGAGATCATAACCAGATCAAATGTCAAAACCAGCGTGCCGGGTCTGGTAAAGTCTCTTCCTGCTTTTAACTGAGCACCCAGCCCTTATTGTATTAAAGTTGGATTCCCCCCTTTGATTTAGATGTAACGTTTATTGAAATTAGTTTGATTAGCTACATTTTATATGAGAGAGCTGTTTTATGGAGTCTGTTCTCAACAGCCAGACATTAAAACCACAAAAACCTTATCTTTACAACCATGTGGAAAACTGATGAAGATCTCCTTTGTTTTGCTTAGGAGTGATTGTTGGCATGAAAAAGAACCCAAAGTAATTGCATCTTCTGATGGGAAGAGGTAAAGTAGACCTCATGCCTCATGATATATGTCTATTATGGAGATTCTTTTCTAGAAAATTGCTCCAGACGAGGAACAGGAAAAAACTGCATGTGACCGCGTGTTTATGTTTATACATTTACCACACGCTTTTATCCAAAGCGACTTACAAAGTAGACACAATTTCACAGTTATCATCTATTATATGCTGATAACTGTTTGTCTCTGAACCTCGCAGGCCACCATGCCGGTAGAGAGAATGAGGATGCGGCCATGGCTGGAAGAGCAGATCAATTCTTGCCAGATCCCAGGCCTGAAATGGGTTAACAAGGTACGTGTGCACAAGCCGGGGAGTACTGGTTCTACAGGCGTACCACAGGCTAACTGCAGATTTTCTTTAGGAGAAGAGGATCTTCCAGATCCCGTGGATGCATGCAGCCCGTCATGGCTGGGATCTGGAGAAAGACGCCCCGCTCTTCATGAGATGGGCCATACACACAGGTAAAGCACAGATCTAAACAGACTGAACCCACGCAACTTCTCCTTTTCAGTGGCTTCTCACCAGGGCAGACAAGTCAAAGAAACAATTTAGTTGTGCAAGAATTATAGTAAAAAGAAAAAAACTCAATTCATGAACTGAGGGAAAGTAAAAAAGATTGATTTAATTCTTGCCTGACTTATCCACAGCCAGGAAACATTTCCAGAGAAATTGGACCCTTTTCAGTGTATTTTATACCATATTGGCCTTTTTCTTGTTGACTATAGATCTTAATAAAAAAGTAAACCCAATTTACTCAAAAAAGTTAATAGGAAAATAAAAATAGCTTTATTTGCCTGCATGCAGGTAAATATCAGGCAGGTGTGGACCGCCCTGACCCCAAGACATGGAAAGCCAACTTCCGCTGTGCCATGAACAGTCTGCCTGACATTGAGGAAGTGAAGGACAAAAGCATCAAAAAGGGAACTAACGCCTTCAGAGTTTATAAGATGCTCTCATCCTCAGAGAGGAGCTTGAAAAAAGGTGAGCTATTCTTCTTTTGCTGCATCAGCTGTGAGAAAACAATTTAGATCAACTTTTATTTTCTTAAAAAATATCTGTGTCGGTGTGTTTGTTTAGGAAAGAAAAAGATGGACAAGGATGGAAAATCAAAAGGAAATAAAGAGGTATGAACATTTTAAGGGGCTTAAAAAAAATTTAAGGAGCTGTTGACAAAAATGAATTCTTATTTGCTGGCATGTTAGTCATGGCATAAATGTGTTACTTAGAAAAACCCTCCGGGTAGTATGTTACTCACCCTTAGGGTGGCAAAGTGCCAGATTATCTCACTTGAAACATCAGCTCTGCCATTTTGCTTCTGCATGGGATCAGCGGGAGTGACGCTCCGCTGGGATTGGCTGACGCATTCCCGTTTGTTTGTGCCTCTGGAAACAGAGGTAGAGGACTACCAGCTGCTGCTGTAAGCAGTGTGAAAACAAAACAAACTATACAAGGATTACATGTGGGGACTTGATAACATATGAAATGCGTTTAAATTGGCAGAAATGCTGACATGTCTAAATTTCCGACATTTCAATCTTACCTCGGTAATTGATTTAAAATCAACCTGTTTAATTGACATGTTTGAAAAAGTACTGTATTTTCCGCACTATAAGCTGCCCCTTCAATAAATGGCCTATTTAAAAAAAGTATATATATATGAAACGCAGCGCATTATAAGCCGCATTGAATAGAAGCTACAGTAGTGGCTGTGTTGGCGTTATGCATCCACTAGATGCAGCTGCGCTAAAAACAATGTCAACAAAACAGTCAAATAAGTCAGTCAAACTTTATTAATAGAATACAAACCAGTGTTCTGACAACTCTGACAAAACATGTATTAGCCACGCTGTATTCTAGGCCACAGTGTTCATAGTGTGGGAAAAAAGTACTGGCTTATAATCCGGAATTTACGTCAGTACATTTATGCATTTAGCAGATTCTTTTAACCAAAGCAACTTACAAAAAGAGGTCATAACATTCAACTAGAAAATTTCAAAATAAATTTTAAGGGGGGCCACCTACTGCCCGTCCAGGAACCCGGGGCTGGCTTCCTGGGGCCCTCAAAAGGGGCCCGGCAGGTCAGCCAATCGATATTTGGGCTCTCTGTAATGTGGGCTTGCGCCTATGAGAGGGCCTGAGGGAGAGACGCAGTGATGGAGGGACCTGGCTGAGCTCTGGGGCCCGCTGACCGAATGCAATTGGTTTGAGCAGGTCGGGGGTCACATTGGCTGAAAGCTGAGAAAAAGATCTACGCAACGAGGTATCACATGACTGGGTCCGGTCCCGGTCCGGTTCCGACCCGGTTGGGTCCGATCCCCAGAACCAGGCTCTGACTAAAGCCCTCTAAGCGGGCTTGGCCCGCCTGGTACCAGAACCAATGTATCCATTAGCTTCAGAGCTCAGCAGAGCTCTGCTGATCGCCATGGCAACAGCAGTCTGCCCCAAGTCTGCCCCCTAACAGGTGTGACTCATCACTAGGCCGCAAGACAGACACAGATTGGACCAAAAGTTGCCTCCAAACTCCGGCCCGCTGTTCGAAAACTATTTCACAAAACTGGAAAATTCTTTGACCGTGAGCGCCACGAGGGTCGCCCATGTATTTCTTTTTCGGCTGCTCCCACCAGTTAGTTTTTTATGGCAATTTCAAAATGAGGGCCGTCTCCTTTCTCCCATTAAAATCCTATTGGAGAGGGTCATGAAAGTCTGGACTCTGGGCCTGATAGCCGGAAAACCGTATGGCCGAGGTCAAAAGCGGGCACATCGGCTGAAAGAGGACACCCGCGGCAACGTTTTGAGGCCATTTTGGCACTGCTCTGCCCCACGGTTTGGTCGCGAGAGGCCGGAGATTTACTTTTTTTTTCGGTGAACATCCCCACAGGGCTCTCAGAGGCTTTAACGATGTAACCTAAAGTACGGGCCAGGATCTCTGATTTTCTGAATTTTACTAAAACGTCAACAGCGATTGCAGGCAAACAGTGCGAGATCTGGCCTCGTGGCTCCAATACGGCGGAGGCCCGTCTTTCGTGACCCGTTCAATTTTCGAACAAGGTCTCTCGAACGGCATGGGGCCAAGCGATGAGGCCCTAATGGGCCTCATCTCTCGGCTTTTTTTTTGGGCCCGTTTGTCGACTCCCCCATTCGTTCCTATGGGTTAATTTGTAATGAAAATGAGGGGTATCTTGAGGGTGAGTCTTTCTGTTTTTTTTTTTTTTAAAGCGAATCATTTCCCCTTTAGGTTACATGTCCCTCCCCAGACAGAACCCTTCTCGAAGCTTATGCCACATCCGCTGACTCCATGAACCCAGATGTGCTGAAGCAAGAAGCTATGGAAATCACCGTGTCAAACAGTGGACCAGGTTTTTAAATTTAAAAAACTTTTTTTGCCCTCACGCTTCAGATTAATTTTCTTTTGTGACACCTCCATCCCGATAGCAGCTCTTACCCTGCTCTAACTAGTTGGATCTGTCCCATACATTCTCCTGAAGCCATGCACAGCTCGGGAGAAGATCATGTGATCAACAGCGAGCAGCTGCCCTATGTCTGTCAGACAATCGAAGTTACCACCGAGAATGAAGAGCAGACCGTCAGCTCCTCCCACTCGTACCCGCTCCAGATATCTCCTGTGTCTTCATGCTGCGGTGAGACCACACGCATGTACACACATACACACAGAAAAACACATCCTTCAAGGAAAGTCAAACTGGTGGCTGCTTCTACCTGATTAAGTTCAATGCACCTTTAGCCGGCTTTGAACAAGGTTTTTAAACGGATCTATTTAATCTGAATCGGGTGAGTTGAAGCAAGGAAACATCTAAAACCTGCTCCTGAGTTTGAAAGCCCTGGTAAAGGAAGAGGTACATCAGGGCTAAATACGGGAGGGTGGGATTGTATATTGTCCAAAGCAAGTTTTAAAATGAAGATAAATTAAAAAAAATGTGGCACAATCCATTCTTTCATTTTATGTATTTTATTCATATTTGTTAGCAAAAATATTTGTTTTAGAAAAAATGTATTTGCGTGGTTTGTTTGATTAATCACGTTATTGATTATATGATTTAAAAAATGATATAGTAGTGTATATATGTCCCATTTTAAGTTACTGTTTTATGAAAAAATCCCAATATGCATAATTTCATGCAAATACTTTTTTGTACTGCAGTATTCTCTTCTTATTTTTAAGAAATGTGGACACAAACACGATCAAATCACGTTATTTCAAATCATATACAAACCCAAAGTTATTTAATGGTCTTAAGGCAAAAATGAGACTGGAAATACTATGATGATAAAAAAAATCCAGCATTGTAATGCCTACATCCATCCATCCATTGTCATTACTGCTTATTCCCTAATGGGTTCGCGGGGAGAACTGGGGAGAATCCCAGTGGACAACGGATGAGAGGCGGGTTAAGGCAATTTGGAAGTCCAATCAAACTAACATGCAGGTTTTTGGACTGTGGGAGGAACCCGGAGAGAACCCACGCAGACACAGGGAGAACATGCAAACTCCACAAATGGAAGGGTCCTGGGTCCCAGAATTTTTTGCCAGTGTATTTTTTGCCACAAAAATGTATGAAAGTATACCCAGCTCTACTACATACATACGGACACACACACATATATGTGTGTGTGTGTGTGTGTGTGTGTGTATGATAAACTAAGCCGAAATGTCCCCCTCCCTCTTCTTTTATAGACTGAAAGAAAGGAAGTAGTAGTATTATTAATGTATTATTAATGTATAATCAGTAATTGTGAGTACTTCGACAAAGCAAAAGTTTGGGCAGTTTACCGCTCTGGAGCATTTGGGTGTAGAAAGAAATTAGAAATTGAACTACAGACACAGTTGTTACTTCCCATTAGAGTGGTGGCTTTTGAGGCTGCTTTCAAACTCTTTGAAGTCCATCATTCTACAGAGAAGAAATGATTCACTAGTGTGACTGGACATCTGAGAAAGTTTAGCCAAAGGCCAGAATGCATAGATCCACCAGCTACATGTCAGCCTCAGGCCTCAGCACATTAAAGGTTTAAGGTCATCACAGTAGAGTTAGAAAAAGAACAAACAAGTATAATTATTTTGGAAGAGAACCTGGCAGTTCAGCTCAGGTTTGGAAAGGTACATGACCAAACAGCAAGACCAAAGCAGGGACATTTGGTCATAATGCAGCAGCGCATTTTTGAGGCTAGACCTGAGCGAAATGATGATTAGGACTTTAAGAACTTCACAGCTCTATAGCAACAACGGAAAAGGAGTTTGCCAAAGTTCTTCCACAGTAACTGATAACAAATCTCAGCTAAAAGATGTTTTCTGTCTTAGTTTTTCCTCAGAATGTGCTGACGGTGTGTCTTGTTTTTATGATGCTGTGTTAACACGCTCTCTTAGCCAATATGGATCTGTTCTCTTTGTGTCTTCGCACCTAAAACCTGCTCCTCAAAAAGGACGTAGATTGTTTATCACATCTTAGTCGACACACTTACTTTGACCCTTGACAGTTATTTGTGTTGGAACCCTGCTTTTTCCTGTTTCCAACAGACCCAATGTGCCACAGATGCTGACCTCATGCGTGCCATTTTCAGTCATAGCTTGTTATCTCCTTTATGTTTGTGTGTGCATGCAGTCATCCTTTCTCCATCCTGACCAGTCATTCAGGAAGAACTGGCTTTGCCAGTCTACAGTTTCTTTGTTTTCGTTGTTGTTGTTTTTTTAACTTCGTCAAAGAATTTCTAATCAGTGTGTGGATATTCTTATGTATTTCGTTCCTGTGTTTTTGTCTTTTCTTTCTACAGGTAGTGACACAGAGAGCGACAGAGAGGACCCCAAAGAGGTAGGTCTCATGTTTTACACACACATTCACTCACTAGAGAGTGATTAATGAATCACCAACTAAACTGAATGTTAATTAAACAAGTTTTTACCTGCTCTGTTCATACTGTTGAAAAAGGGATTGTGTGTCTGTGTGCATGGTTTGTTTTCAGGCTTGAAAGGGAGATAGTTGAAGTAATTTCCCCGTGATCTCTCCGTGACAGCTCCCAGAACCATGTTAGATTTAAGGTTTTCTTTTAGTGTTACGTGTTGAGTACAGTGTGTATGTTCCTTCTTGTTATGGCGCAAGAGACTGGGAAAAAAGGGGAGGGCTTTATCAGTAACTGCTGCTGTCAAACATTAACAATCTGGTCTGTGTTTGTCCCTGTTTTAGTTCACACACATAATTTTTTTAATTTCTAATTCAGAATTAGGAAATTTAGCTGCCAGAAATGCAGCTTTTGCTCGCATTGCAACTGTAAGATGGGAGGCGGACATCAGAAGTTGCCAGCTGGTTTAGCATGAATGGCTTTGACTCACCTTCTCCCCCCCTCCCCCATTTTCTTTTCTTTTCTTTTGGCCCAGCATGGAGTTGGGGTGCGCTGGAAGAGGAATTGCAGCTCGTCCGTTCTCAGAATACCCTCATGTTCCCTCCCCAGCATGGCAACCTTTGTCAGCCCGAGCAAGCCCAACTTCCTTGTCACCAGCACCAGGGATCCTGCCCCCCTCATCAGCTACCACATGGATGGGTGGACGCCTGGCTACGACCAGAACTCTGTGGTGTCCCCGACCGGCAGCCACAACCACGAGATGCGCGCCAGTGTCATTAGAAAAACCTCTGACGTCACTTCTTCCTGACCCCCAAGGGGGGAGCGTCATCTCTGCCTTAAGGGGAGCGCGGAAGAAACTGAACATTTGGGTTCTCCTTCAGAGCTGTAATGGGCCTTTTTGATGAAAAAGAGAAGGAAAAAAGAAAAAAAATGGAGGAAAACTTCCAGAACTTTAGATTTATTATTGCATCTGTCTTGGTCGACTGCTTCCAAAGTTCACTAAGTGCTCAGCGTTCACGGCAGAGGGAAGTAAGAGTTTCCTGGCAGAGCTATTATGATGTCCCCGCTGCTTTGTGATACCAATTTAGCATGATAAAAAAAAAGCTTCTTGCCAGACGTTTCCAGAGCTTTTAATGCCTAATGAAAATGACAAATGCAATGTTATCTCGATTGGGCTACATTGAGCTGTGCTGTGATTTGAAAAAGTCACGCAAAACTGACATTTCCTTGAGCGTTCCAAGCACTTTCCTGATGTGTCAGAGTGAAATGCTTCACGGTGGGCACCTGGATGGAAGCGCTCAAAGAGGGCGAGAAGGAAATTGTAATGGGTGGAGTTTGCAATATCAAAATCAGCATTTGTTTTTTATCAGAGTAAAGAATGACATTCATTCACCCCATGGTGGAAAGCAGGTGTGTGTGTGTGTGTGTGTGTGTTTGTGTATTTGGAGAGCTCTGGCTGTATCCTGCCTTCCACATACAGGTGGACTGACAGACTGTGAAAATTTCACCATGTCTCTTCCAGCCTCCTCTAAAATGTACATAGCCAATATGTTTGTATGTATGCCTGCAGCTGCTTTTTAGCACCTTATGACAGTACTTGTCTGTGTGGTGTGAGTGAAACAGAGTTAGAGCAAAGCCTTACAGAATATATGTGCCTTCTGACTGTGTAACTGTATTCAAACTATCTGTGCTTTTATCCACCGGGAAAGTCGTGACGATTTCCCCCCTGTGTATAAGGAGCAAGGATGGGTTGAGCATTTCTATCGCTTTGTTTTTGTGAATGAGAGAGAATCTTGGAGGTTTGCATTGGAACTTTAAAAAGAAAAGTTTTAAAAAGTACAATAGAGAAAAGACCCTGGGCTATTTCTCACAGCGAAAATTATGCCGTGGCTACCGGGAAAGAGGAGAAGGTTTAAGTGGCTGACATTTAATTTAAAAAAATAGTTACGTTAACACATTGATTTCCCCAGCTTCATAAAATTCAAACTCTTTGAGACCACAAATGTTTGCGAAAAGCCCCTCCTGAGTTCCAGTAGCACATGAGCAGCTGGCAGGTTCAAGCACAGTCTGCAGGAGGAACAGTGAAGACAGTCCATAATGCAACACTGGATGCACACAAGTATCGTGGCGATTTACTATTTTTCTTTGTTAAAATAAAACTCATAGGATAAAAAGGGTGGGTGTCTTAATACATGTGCCTTCTTTGTTAGAACAACACACCCATAGTTCTACTTTTTTTTTTTTTAAACTCGGATTATGAAATAGTTTCTCAAAAGTCTGTGAAAGGTGATGACTAAATTAGTGTATATTGATAATTTCATCCGTCACAGCTAACGTCTTCCTTCTGTTTTGGACCAACGTCCCTGATAGCCTCTTCCAGTGAATACTAGTGAGTGTTACCATGTGCCACACTACACCAAGTGTTGTCTGCCATATACAGGTCCATTTTTCTCGCCTTAATAAAGCCCGAACAGCTTGTTTAGATTAAAAAAAATAAATAAAAATAAAAATAATTTCTGCTTCATTAAATCGGCAAAAGGGACTTCAATACAGCCAAGATGTCATCAGTGAAATGTTTTTTTTTTTGTAAAGCATAAGGTTTTAACAGCATGTCACACTTTGTCTTCTGTACAGGAATAAACAAAGAAAGAAAGACTACATGTGAATTAACATGTACAAATGAAATAAAGGTGTTTTTTTTTATTTATTCTCACCCCTTTGAGATTTACGACCCCTGAAAAGAGGTCACATAGCTGAGGCTTTATCTTATGTGCTCTAAAAGATCAGAGTCCAGTTTTAAAGCACCCAAGCCTCTGAGAGTACTTGTTTATCTGTTGCTGTTGAGTGAAGGGAAAAAAATAAGTCCACTTAATGCAAAGTCCTCCAAAATGATGCTTCTTGTCTCTCGTTTATGAGACAAGAGAGAAAGATTTTCTACTGTAATGTAATCACTATATGAGAGCAAGTATTGTGTGTGTGTGTGTGTGTGATAATTGAAAAATACTTCTTGTGCTTTTGCTTTATCCCCCCGCGACCCCATCAGGGAATAAGCGGTATTGATAATGGATGGATGGATGGATGGTTTTGCTTTATATCAGAGAGCCCAGATGTGGCTTTGTTTCACACAATCTCACACTGCGTTGCTCATTTGGTGTAGCCGTATCACCAACTGCTGTTTCAGTTTCAGTTGCTGTTCTCAGTTCTCCCTCTGCTTCCTGTTTGTGTTGGGCCCCAGCGGATGGCTGGCCAGTTGCCTAGATGACAACTGACCACATACAATTAGTCATAGTAAACAGTTTGGTCTTTCAGTGTGTGGCACAGACTATTTTTGACTTGGTTTGTTTTTTCATTAGATTTTCTCTTCTTTCGGCAAAAATAAAGACAAATCCTGTCTGAACACTGTTTTGTTTAAAGCATGACATAAGTTATAACAATACAAATATGCAGAGCTTTGCATATTTGTAAAAATTGTTTAAGAAATGTTGTAAGTGCCATGGAGGAAACCCATAATTCAACTATGTGATGCTGCTGCTACCTGCTGGACATACAAAAAATCAAAAAGCTTCACTTCAGCTACGCATTACAGCTTCACTTCTCTGACCACAAAGGCATCGCTTCCCATAAATCATTTGAATATATAGAGGAAATGCTGGAAAAGTGTGTTTTGGATGCATCTCCCTGTAATCTGATCCAAACAAGTGGCGTAATTAAACAAACCTCCTACGTAGCCTGTAAATGCGTGCCCTTTTCCCAAAGGCCAGTGTATTATTTGACAGGAAATCGTGATGAAGCGACAACCTTTTCTGTTAAGGGCAATTTATTCATGATTTTTTTTTCTTTTAAATCTTTTTTTTTGTCAGTATTAGAAAACTGTTTATAATTAATAAATGACCATTTTTAAAGTTATCTCAGCCATCATGCAGTGTTCAAATGAGAGCCTTGATTATTTGGTACAAAAATAATTTTCGAATAAACTTAATTATCTCTAATATTTTCAAAGCTTAAGCTTTTACAAATTCTATGACTGTAGTCAGATGATTATAAATTATTTTACGTAGTAAATTTAATATAATATAAATAAATAAATAAATAAAGTCAATCCCAAGACCAGGAAAGATAGATGATCATCAGCCACTGCCATCACCTGATGTGATCCTCTTTCCGAATTGATTATGGTCAACAAGGTGAACATCCCCAATACCATGGGTATTCAGAAAAAAATACTGTATTCTAAATACATTAATGAACAAATAACTATTAATAATATGGTAGTTTTTCTATCTGTGAAGTAATGAGACAAATTATATTTCAATGTGGAGTTGCATTTTTTATGAATAAACTTTTTTTTTTTTTTTAAACACAAACACACCTTATATGATGTAGATTGAAAAAACTACAATACTGTTAAAAAAGATTCACAGGAGTGGGAAATCAGTGTATTCTTTTTTCTCCATTTCCTTTTCCTAAAAATCCCTTACATGGAAAGTACTTCTAACAATGCTTTTGTCAATAATGTCAGATCAGCTGAACGACAAGATGTTTCTCAGGCTGCCACTTCTTTTATCCACCCACTGTCAAGTTTTCTCAAGGCAACATGACAAGTTTTGAGACCAAATTAATGGTCAAATCGCAGAATTCAAGATCCAACCATCCATGCATCCATCCATTCATTATCTATCAATCTCTTATCCCCAATGGGGTCACAGAGAACTGAAGATATAATATAATATATAAAAATGACCTGTCTTTATTTATTCTTATCTAACTCCTTGGTTTTAAGACAAAATAATCACTCTTGAAAGTTTACTCCAGTCTGTAAAGACCTGGTTTCCATTGTCGTTTCAGGAAGAGCACCTTATATGGTCTTTAGCGCAAATCTCTTACTAAAATGTATGATACGTAGGGCATGATACGTAGGGACAAAGGGAATCGTAGCTTCTGTATTTGAAGAGGATAGAGTGGGGTTGAAGTACCATTAGGTATTCAATCCATTTAAAACAACGGGGAAGGAAACGGTGACCTCTTGTGGATGCAAGAATTCTCCACTCAAAAGAGTTGAAAGCGAGAATTACTAAAATCATTACCGCCCTGTTGGGAAAATAACTCCAGTTTTTAAAACACCCTAGGTGTTATCGAACTGGACCAAATTGCTAAAAATTTGAAAAGGGGAAAGTAAAATGAGTTTCAAAGGGAACAAAGACATAAAAAGAGTACATATATATATATATA